GGGAGAGGACAGAGTTCTATAACTGGAGTGCTGCTACTGGGAAATTCCTGCCAACCTAACATTCTCCTATCATACTTATCTAAACTTTCAGGGTTAATGGGGTAATACAACAGATCTCTGGTAATGAATGCATATTTTAAGTAAGTTTCACATGAGAGCAGGACATCCTGCATCATTTTCTCCCTATGAAAACAGGGTAATGCTGTTGGAGAACCATTTAGGATGCCAGGATGCAACTCTGAATCTGAGAATGGCATAGAAATTGCTATGGAATTCTGCTTATTAATAACCATATGTTGTCAGGTCAGTTTTGAGTTATGATACTGCCTCTCTTCTGGGGGCGTCCTGGGACTGTGCAGCTTGCCCAGGGCTTTCTCACAGGAGGCACAATGAGGAATAGGACTCCCAGTCTCTGGCTTTTCAGCCAAATACCTAACCACTGAACTATGCAGCCAGTTCATACATGCATAAAACTTGAGTAGGATTTTGATCAATGGGATTTAAGCTTAATAAACTAAATTTAGTAAACTAAACTGGGTTGTGAAGTGAAGATGGAAATAGCAGTGAAGGCAGTGAGTGAGCCGTCCCCTCACACGTCTGAGACAGGAGGAGGAGATGAGGATGCAGCTGGTGTGAATGTTTGGATACAGGGGGAAGAGTGACAGGAGAAAGGAGAGAGGCGGAGTCAAAAAGAGAGAGAAAGGGGGTGGAGGTTTTTCTGACAATGGAAGAGGAGAAAAAAAAGTAGTAGTGTGGGAGGAAGAAAAGAAAGAAGGAGGAGGACCTCAGGTTTTCCAGGTGCCGGAAAGAGCAGAGATAGGAGGCGGAATACGTGGTGCGGTGGGGCAAGGACGAGATGAACAAGGGATAGAGGTACAGCTGGAAGAGTTAGATCCCTCACAATGTACAGTTTTAGTGTTCCCTCGTGGCCAAGATCCTTGGAGGAAGGTGGTTCACCCGAAACTCATCTCACTGAACCATAAGCCTCCGGAAGGAGACTGGGCCCATCACCCATGTTGTAGAACCATTAGTGCAATACGGAGTGCCCATCTATGGAAACCAACGGACCAGGAGAGATTCAGACCGACCCTGCATTAAAGGAAGAAGAGCCCACTTGTGGACTGTCTTTGTCTTGGACTGAGTTCCCTTTAGATGTTAGCCCTGTTGGCCCAACAGAAGTAGTTGTTGATTCTCCGTTCACTGTTGTTAATAAAACTTTAAATGAAAGAAACAAGACTCTTATGGCCATTCCCGCCAAAAGAGAGGAACTGCTTAACTTTTTTGCCAAACCTGATCACATGGGTTTTATTTACTTCAGTGAGTCAGCATGAAGTACAAGTAACTCTGGATCCTGCCCTTTTAAATCGGTAAGATTTATTTCAAAGTAAATATTTAAAAAGTTCAGTTGCTTATATATTGTGGATTCACAAGGGAACAGTCAGGCCATTAATGCAACCTGCCACTACATGTTCCTTACCAGGAAAAAATATGCCCACCTTTAGTTCACAATCTTCATTCACTGCCAAATTGCCAGGCTTCAGATCCTGCAGTAGATTTTAGATATATAAAAATCAGAAAACAAGTCTGGAAGTCAACCAAAGCTATCATAATTACATCCTATTTTGGCCAAAACACACACTTCATTTGTAATTTTGTATCACAGATATAAGCCTAACTGAAATCAATGGGGCTTTCTTCAAAAGGCACTACTAGAGGGAAAAAGTGGTAGGTTTCCTCTGTCAGTTAATGACTATTTAATATGTGTGTTTTGCTCTAAGAGATATGATGCAATTGCTGATTGAAAATTGACTGAAGGACCCTTGGATACAGTGTTCATCATGTTCTTCTGATCGAGATGGAATAACATTGTGTTGGTGGGATAACATTCATATCTTCAGTGAAGCCATGATAAGGCAGAGGAAAGCTGCCATGATACCGGGAATGGTATGTATTGGCAGACATTAGAAAAGTTATTTTTGAGACTATAACTTTGGCCATCTCACTGCCAGGCTGCAGTTGGGATGTTGGGAGTTGAAGCTCCCAATAAAATAATTTTCCCAATCTCTGCCAATAATGTTGTGCCAGTGGAGAGGGCACACTGGGGGCAGGGATTAAATCTTTCAGAATCCAAGCCTTCTTTGCTTCTGACATAATACTCCAAAGGCCTAATAATACCTGGGACTGGAAGGTACATTCCAGGAAAAGATCTGCCTCCCACCTCCTAACCTAGTCACAGAAATCCATAGGGCACAAGATACTACAATTGTTCTGTAAAGGTTATCTCTCCTTTCCTCTCCCGGTAGAGTAGGATTGTTCTGTTAATATAAACAAAATGATCCATTTCACTGTTCCAAAGGGCTAAGGACTGCCCCTGTCACTCTTTTTGATAGAGGTCCTCAAGTGGTGCTAATTAATAGACCCTCCCCCTCAGTTTTGGCACAAGCGTGTGCTACCCTAGTTCTGCAAGATTTCTAGTCTCCCTCTCTCTTTATCTTTTCTTCACTTTTTCATTCAATTGCGGAATGCTTCTTTTATCCTGTTTCAGCATTAAAAATGGGCCTTGGGGCATGCAAGAAGTTGCAAGAATGTCTTCTCAGGTGACATCTGAAATGTTTTCTTTGGGCAGTTTCAGATGCATTTTTCAACCACCTTGAGAAAACATGAAGGAAGACAAAGGTGAAGGGAGGAAGTGGTATCTCAATTCTACAGCAAGCTTATTAAAAAAAAAAAAAGCATTGGTCAGAGCCAGTGCTTGGAAGAGCTACTTTTATGGACTATAATTCTCGGAATCCCCGTTATTATAATGGTATTGCATTCTGGGATTTGTAGTCCAAAAATAACCTTCCCCAACTCTAACTCTGACAGAGGTTGGGATGTTGTTTGGGTTTTGCTCCAGGTGATCTCTCTGAACTCTCTCTACAAGGAAAAAATGAGTAAAGTGAGGCTGTCAGACTTTGCGCACATCAAAAATGGAAAAGATAATACAGTACTGCTTGGAAAAGAGGAAGGTAGCAGGAGAGGAGGAGGATCAAATATGGGATGGATTCACTCAATAAAGGAAACCGTAAGATTGAGTTTGCAAGACCTAAGCAGGCCTGTTAATAATAGGGCCTTTTGGAGGTCACTAATTCTTAAGACTGCCATAAATTGGAAACAATAAACCGATGGACATAACAACAACAAAAGAATGTTTGGCGAACAGCAGAATTTATCTTCCAACTGAGGAAGTCCTTTTAGTAAATACACAGAAATACTTTGGGGTTTGCAATAGTCAGTGAAAAATCAGCAGGCAATGGGCAAGATAGGCGACCAGGTATTGTTTTGTTATACATCTTGCATACTTTTCAACAGCTGGCCATATTGAAGCTCATGAAATTAGTAGTCTAAAACATATGTCAGAAACCAGGTTGCTTTCCATGCCTCCCCCTAATATCCATTGCATTAGGAGGTACTGTAAATACAGTGCTTTGCTTATAGTACTGTATATACCTTTTCACTGAGTAGCTGGAGAATGTCCTCAAACATGAGGAGTTTCACCAACAGAGGTAGGGTTTATAGACCTATGTGGCTCCCAACACCAAGACTGTTTAAATCCTGGTAAGAGGGTCATCAAAAGCAATCCCTAGTTGGATCACACAGGTGCTATCTGTGTTGAGGCGTAGGGGAGGATGGTGTCACCTTAGACGCTGTCTGCCTGGGCAATGACTGGGTATGGGTATTGGCAACTTGTGCTGGGCAGAAAGTTGGCAATACTAGCCACTGCCCTTCCTGCTCAGCACAGAGGCTTCTAGATATAGATGATTTTTTTTAATGTCAAAGATGGACAGGCAGATAGATATTATTAGGTATCATTTACTTGTAGCTTTCAGCAAACCTGGTGACCAACAGGCACTTTATATTTCAGTCTCCATCATCCTCAGACAGCATGGGTATGGCCAACAGTCAGGAACTGTGGTAGCTATGGTTCAAAACATTTGGAGGTTCCATATTTGCTATGACTGGACCAGCTGGTATGTTTAAAATAAAATTACCCAAAGGGAATCTGAAAATTTTGAGAGTCGAGTAGACAAGGCAAATTGCTTTCATGGATTGCACACAGACACACAGAATACCCCAACCAGCATGGCTGTTGCTGTTCATTTCTGAAACATACACTAGTACCTTGCTTTGATCTAAAGGAGAAATAATTTTATCTCAAGTAAAGTAGTACTTACTCTGTGAATGATTCCAGCAGAATGAATATACTGCATTAAAAAAGAAAGAAAATGTTGATCATTAGGTAAACAGGTATTGATTTTCATCATTAGCCAACAAGTGTTCTCCCTTATCAACAGTCAATAGTCAGACAAGATTCTGAGCTGCAATTTGAAAAGTAACTTTTTGTACTACAGCTCGCTGAATGGCTAGGATAGTCTGGGAGCCATAGAATTTGGCTTGCTAGGATTTCTATGGGAAATATCTTGCCTGCAGAGGTTCTAATAAAATGGAAATATACTGTATAGCATAGTTCTTCCAAACAGTAAAGGTGAGATAAGCTACTCAAGAGATAGAGGTTGAAATTCTTCAAAATGCAATGGGTGAATCCACCTGGTAGTCCCCATTAGAGCAGCAGACCTACTGAATCAGATTCGAAAGAGAATTGACTCATCATTCAATAATGGATTCAAAGGATTTATTTTAGTTGGGAGTGCCCACTGGAGTTAGGCTCTTGTCAACAAATATAGCACAAATGAAGCACTGTGGACTCAAGACGGTTACATAATAGGCTTCACACGGGTATTTGTTCTGCAATAAGCAAACCACACGGCAGAAGGCTGTTCACTGTTTGTCTCAACTGTGAACAGGTGAGGGGGAAAGGCTTACTTTTAAAAGTCTTTTACATCATTAATGGTTTCTTTTTTTTTTCGCTCTACACTGCACAACTTTGTACCAGTATCAATTCTACCTCTGTGCTGTTTGTAAATTTATTCTGAAGATTGATATTTGCTGGGGTTGGTTTTCCGCTTGACATTTTTCTACATCTCTGTGACCCAGCACCCCTCCACTAAACCACCCATTTCCCAGTGGGCACTCCCAACTAAAATAAACCCTTTGAAGCCATTATTGAATGATGAGTCAATTCTCTTTCTTATGAATGAACTCAGTGAATGGAAATTACCATGTCTGTCCTAAGAAACACAGACCTTATTTCAGTTGCTATACTATTGGGTAAAGGAAGTAAACTTCCAACAAGATTTTGGTTTTCATTTGCTTGTTTATTTTTCATTTTATATTAGTATAAAATAGACTAACACAAGGCTACCTTTTTGATCATTTTTCTAACTTGTTGACCTCTAGATTTCTGGGACTACACAGTTAACATGCTAGATGGGACTCTGGAATTGCTACTCCAACTTCTTCAGCAGGTACTAGCTTGGGGAAGACTATAAGGAACACATGGAGTTTTAAAAGCTATGCACTCATGTTAGTGGACAGAGATACATGTTTGTTTTAAAAAGAAGAGCATTTCTAAGCAATTCTACTCTTTTAAGCATGTACTGAAAAGACTCTTCCATTATAGAGAGACTTAGGGAAAATTTATCAGTTAATTTAGGTTCAAATGATCACTCAGAGTTTCCGCAATGCCACTTACCTTTAACCCTTTCAGCACCTGGTAGATGAGATACTGGATCTTTTCCTCACTGAACTGATGTCCCATTATCTTTTGTAAATCAGTTTGCATGTAAGGCATCACCAGATAGCTAAAAGGCAGTGAGACAATTCCTTGAGTCTTTGAGAAAGATGTAGGTTTCTATATATTGGCTTAATTAAGCAGTGCTAAAACTGATTACCATTTTCTATAAGCAGCCATGTTTGCTGTCTGTATAGGATCAGATAAACGAATACTAAATAAGGGGAATAGAATTTACAGACATTGCACAAAAACCTGTATGACTGAGCCTTAAAATGCCCTTGTACCTCTTTGTTGATCTCTATATTTCCTTTGTTTCAGAGAGGAAAGATATTTTCCAGGCTACAAATTTAGCTATCTCAATGGCTCATTGACCTTCCATGGAACTTAGTTATTATGATTAAATTTGACAGGTTGGCCCATACCCATTGTGCACCGAACTCTTTCTGGTGGTGCTTTTGTAACCTCTTGATATATTGGTTCAGTTCATAGGTGTGAGACTAAGAAAGAGAAAGGCTATGGGTAAAAGGTCTGAGTCTCATTAAGAGCAAGATAGCTGAAAAGGCGGGAGCTGCTGTTGCTAGTCAGACTACTAAGGCCCTTGCCAACATGGTTTAGGTATAATTTTTATATGTTTGTGTTGATGAATCTATATAGTGAATTCATGAATTGCATACAATATAATACAATGATATTTTATTTTCTGTTTTTGAAGATTCTCCTGTGTTAAGGATAACTGAGGAAGATATATTGGATATTTGTCTGACTTTGAAATCAAAGGGACCCTTGAACTTTACAAATTCTACAAGCAACTTCTGTCTTGGTGCTGTTGCCAAGAATTTGGGGACACAAACTATAGCATTTTGTTGTCATTATAATTTCTCATGTTGTCTGTTATATAAATGCAAATAAGAAGATACATGTTTTGTGAAATTGTGTTTGCAAGATTCAACAATAGTAAGCAAATAGTCCCGTAGAACCTAAAAGTGTTACACTTCGTTTTTTGAGTACTTCAACTTCCAGAATATATTCTCATAACGTACAACAGATTGGAGGTTCAGCCTGTAACCCACTGGTTCTCAACTCTTGGCTTGCCAGGTATTTGGGACTTACTACCAGAAGTCTTCAGCACTAGCATCTGTGAACTGAAGTGTGAAACCCTAGGACACCCAAAGATTGAGAACCCCTGCTTTGAAAGAAGTACAGTGTTTAAAGTGTAGATCAAAATAAAATAAATAGAAGTTCTTACATTTATTTAAGTTCCATTACTCTGCATGTGCAATGCAGATGACATCATTAGCAGCAGCAAATCACCACTAATGACTTCCTTTAGTAACTTTGGGGTACATATGAATTTGTTGCATTGTGTATGAGTTACAGTCACTCTGAAATTGTCTTTAATCAGGGACCATTTACCTTTAATTTAAACTGATTTATAATAATACTTTTTGAATTGCAAAGTTGGAAGGGATCCTATGGATCATTAAGTCCAAGCACCTGTCAGGAAGGCACAGTGGAGTATCAAACTCCCAACCTCTAGCTCTGTAGCCAGATACCTAAACCAATGAGCTATCCAGCAGTTCTTTGCTGGTGATGATGTCATCATCATTGTGCATGCAGAGCTGTGCAACAGGATTTCAGCCTTTGTATTACAAAATTTTTAAATCACTTTAATAAAAGTAATATTCAGTTTATTTGGTGTAGGAATCAATGGAACAGTTGTTAACTGGATAATAAAACAACTTTGATTTACATGTTTATAGATAAATCTATACCATGTTTAACACCAGGATTCTGTATAATGTGAAGTGAAAACAAAGAACAGAAATAAAAATTTTGTGCTCAGAAAAGCTGAACATTTCAGCATGTATAAACTATGCAAGTTAACATAGTATTTTTGTGATTCTTTTGCAAAAAATATAATAATCAAATAACATGTAAAGTCCTTTCATTTTGTTCATAATAAACCCATCTGGATTTAAAATTTTTGATCTTTCTGCCCAGATGTGTGCTCAGGCTGTATTATCAAAATTGGTCTCTTTGTTTTTATGTTGTAATCAATGTGAACTGCTTAGAAAACCCTTGGACTACAAAGTGGAAGAGAAATTTACATAATTAGTTAATTTTCTCTTTTGCTTTAGAGGGCAAGAATTAAAACCTGTGGTTGGATATTTGAAGGAAGGAGATTTTGGCTAAATATGAAGAAAAACATCCAAAGTTGCAGGAGAGAAGGGAAGGCAAATGAAGTGCTAAAGCTCTGCTTCCACACGAAGACCATCTCAGATTTGAACCTTTGATCCAAAAGTCTGATCCAGGGTCCCTATGTCTCATCTTTTTTAGCATTAAAAGCTTACTACTTGAAGTAACAGCGTTCCATGTCTAGTCACGCTGGCCATGTGACCACAGAAACTGTCTTTGGACTAATGCTGGCTCTACAGCTTGGAAATGGGGATGAGCACCGCCCCCTAGAGTAAGAAATGACGGGACTAAATGTCAAGGAGAACCTTTAACTTTACCTTACTTGAAACAAACCAAAGTTAAGGTAAGATCTCCACAATGATGAATTCAGCACAGAAAACCAAACTCTCAATCTGTCATTTAAAATTGAATGGCATCTAGGAACTCTTGTTCAGATAACTATGCCAAATACAGTATTAGATGCTGCTAATGCAAAAGAGAGCATCTGTTGCACATGTAAATTCTGACCTTATGTACTTGTGACTGAGAAATGTGTTCTTTAGTAGTGAATCTTGCCTCAGAACCATAGAACATTTTATTTGGGGGGAAATGCCAACTTACAAATCCTGGAATCCATCAAAGGAGGTAGCTGATGTGAAAACATCAAGTAATCCAATGACCTGTAGAAGAAGCAGACTCAGAATGTAAGATTATGAAGAATACGAATTAGAAAAGCAGTGCTATCCTCTACCATAAAGACACCTTCTCATAAGCAACAGAAACAGCTAAACCATATTTTGATACCGCTCAAGGGCTTTTCAAATGATGGAGCAGGAGCACTGACATCCCTTGCAAGTCTAAAGTTCAGAGACAAATCCAGGAAAGTTAGAATATATATCAGACTTGGGTTCTTTAACACTGCAAAATTTGCCAATATGATCAGGACAGGCCCATCTCCAATAGAAAAATGAATATAGAAGGGAGGGAAATTCTTGTCACTGCATTGTGAGTGGTCCACCAGGATGTTGCAATCTTTCTACCCTGGTCATGAGCTATAGGGGAGATTCTCATATATGAAGTAGATGTGGTAAGTACATATCACTGGGTCATGCTCATCCTTTTTTTTTGCCTAGTTTCTGTACAAGGAAAAGGTGCTTAAGAAGCATTTTGGGATAGAAATTCCTTGGGCACCATTTACTGTAAGTGCTTGCTACCATTGCTAGTCAGTCATATTTTACCTTTGGAAGTATGAGTGTTTAGCTAGACAATTCATTGGCTGAAGTTAGTATAGTAGCGCTTTATCACAATCATAGAAATCTGTCCTTGAATAATAAGACCTATGAATCCCTGTTTAGATCACTCACTCACTTAGGAATTATTACATCAACCAAAAAATATGTCTATTTGGCATTCAGACTCTGACATTAGTCAGATTTTGCTTTGACTACCAAACTTGGGCGAGTTGCAAATTCTGATGCTGCACTTCAACTCCATCTTTCATCCAGGGCAACACATGAAAGAAATGCACAGTTGTTTATGCGCAATGAAATGAGAGGAAGGAATTACTCACATTCTCATGCTGCATGTGCTTCAGCAGTGTGAGTTCTCGATAGGCTCTCTTGGCAAAGATCTCAGACTGGAATGGGCGACAGAGCTTCTTGATAGCGACTTTCTCCCCTGTTTTCTTGTCTGTTGCTGAACTGTGAGAAATAAAAGGGAGACATCCAAAAGCAAGTAAGGTCGGAGCACTCTGATGTTCAGTTAAATCCCAAATGTGTTTACTTGGATTACAGTAAATCCAATTGTGTAGAGGCTTCCTCCCTAGGAGCATGTTTTGGATTTCAACCTCAACTTCATTGCTGCTATGCCTGGATTTAGTTCCAATGGTTTCTGCACAGATCACACTTACATGAATATAGGAGTTTTTTCCATGCCACACTGTGATAAATGAATTTGTCATTGCAAGTATACATGGTGGGACACTATAGCCCCTGGACAATCTGGCTCCATACTGTCTGTATGCATATAAATGCATGTTTTGCATATATCTGCACAGGAAAGAGGTAGGCAATCTGCTGTAATCACTCCATCCTGCATAGATATATGAAAAACCTAATCTGCACACATACACATAGCATGGAGTCAAATAACAAAGGCTATTTTTCAGACTTTCTGGCTCCCTAGGAGGTGCAGCTAAATGGGATGGGCTACGGCCCAGGAGGTTAATTTCTTCATTTAATTGTTAATTTTTAAAAATGCAGTGATTATAAACTGTAAAGGCTGCAACAATCTGTTTTTGTTAAGTGAAAACAGGTTTATCTTTTAAAAAATAACCTGAAGAAAACCCTTTCCAAAAGCAACTGATAGTCAAAAGAAAATTGAAAAACAATTTGGGTGGTATTTGGAGTCCTCAGAAATACTGCCCTCCCAGATATGTCAAAAGTGCCCCCAAAATCTCAGAGGGCACAAGTTGATTTTTAAGCAAAGTTTTTTTTCCAAAGAAATTTAAAATTTTGGGGTGCTAGTGGAGTTTCATGTGATCCATGATATGACAAACATTTCAGAGTGTGCATAAAAGAATTACAGAAGATAAATTTCCCATAATGGGTACGCTCAGAAATGAGTAGGAGAACACTTCTGTCTTCTAAGATATTCTGAGGTAGCTCTGAAGGTCATTGTTCTTCAACAAAATAACCTCAAAGGAAGAATATAAAATAGTTGAACCAGAACGTATGAATACATTTGATTGAAAAAAAGTAATTTTAAACATGGTTGTTGTAGGTTTTTCGGGCTATATGGCCATGTTCCTAAGGTTTTTCTTCCTAATGTTTTGCCAGTCTCTGTGGCTGGCTTCTTCAGAGGACAGGAGGCAGAACTCTGTCTGTGTTACCGGAACACAGAGTTCTAAATCCTGTCCTCTGAAGATGCCAGTCACAGAGACTGGCAAAACATTAGGAAGAAAAACCTTAGGAACATGGCCAAACACCCCGAAAAACCTACAGCAACCATTGGATCCTGGCCATGAAAGCCTTCGAGAATACAGTACATTAATTTTAAACACTCTGCTGGATCAGTCCACAGGGGTATCCAGCCCAGACTTTTAGTCCCACAACGGCCAGCAAGTTTTCTCTCGATCACTCCCAACAGACAGGGTGTGAGTGCAACAGAACCTCTACCAGTTGTCCTTCCCACTGATATACAGGTACATGCTGCTGTTTAGTCATTAAGTCATGTCCAACTCTTCGTGACCCCATGGACCAGAGCACGCCAGGCCCTCCTGTCTTCCACTGCCTCCCAGAGTTGGGTCAAACTCATGTTGGCAGCTTCGCAGACACTGTCCAGCCATCTCATCCTCTGTCATCCCCTTCTCCTCTTGCCTTCACACTTTCCCAACATCAGGGGCTTTTCCAGGGAGTCTTCTCTTCTCATCAGATGGCCAAAGTATTGGAGCCTCAGCTTCAGGATCTGTCCTTCCAGGTTTTTATCAACTGTAGAGCTAACTGATGGAGTAATTCACCATGTTTTTGAATACCAATTCCTGGGGAAGAGTATTATTGCAATGTTTTCCTCTCTTTTTAAAGACCAGCTAGTATTAGTATTTTAATCAAGAAATGTCAGAGTGTTTAATTTTAATTGTATTTTAACAATATAACAAATTTAATTGTTTTTTAATGTTTGTTACATAGCTGTATTTTAATTTTCTATTGTTTTCATACAATATTATAAGCCACCTTGAGTCCCAGTCCTTGGAGAAATGCAATATATAAATGAAATAAATAAATGCCTTCTTTATGGGCCACCAATGAGAATAGCTATCAACTCTAAGGAATGGTTCAGTTCTATTAATGAATTAAATACTTCCATGTATATGCAGCAACAGGAATCTCTCTAGAATCATTGTGTGGCTGATAAATATTGCATTAGACATTTCTCAGAGCCAGTCAATATATGAGTAACATTTCAGACAGGACGTCATGTGGCAATTGCTATTAGCATATAAAATTCATGGAAGCACAAATCAGCCCTTAGTGACATAGAGTTAGTCAGATTTAATTAATTCCCACTTCAAAGCTAACTAATTCCCATTAATTAATCAGTTCCTACTTGGACTCCTTGTTGCATGCCTGTTGGGTGGCTTGGCATGGGACTAGGAATCCCAATGGAGTCCCATTAAATCATTCCAATTTGTCACTGTAAGACCATTTCCCTTCCACTGATGTAATTATGCAAGAGAATTTTGGCCTATTCTTCTTTCAGTGGTCATCTGTGTACTCACATGTGAGTTTTGTAGCTGCGTGTAAGTTGGTTTGGAATGATCTAGAGCTGATATTTTTTTCATGAGTCAGCTGTTAGATAAGAGAACTGATACTTGACTGTCCCCAGGCAGAAATTTATAGATCTCTTGGGGGGGAAAAAGTCAAAAACTTGTTTTTGTCACAGCTGACTTTTATCCCAATAAGGTTTAGCTCCAGAATAAGATCAAACAATCACAGACAATCACATCAATATTTATCAGAGTATCAAAGTATTTTTTTCATTGTTGCAGTAATTCCAGACAACACCGCTTATCTACAAGCTTTATTTATCTACTTTCCTTCTGCAATACAACATGTATTTCAGCCTTTTGGGGAAAATACAACATTTTTACAGCTATAAGAAAATTGTAGACACAAATGCTTAAAAATATATGAAAACTGAACTTAAAGTTGTAGGGAAAAACAGTTGGACAACAGAGCAGAAATGGATGCTGCCTATGACTAGGTGGTATATTCTTTCGTTTTAGCATGAAAACTGCTCTCCTTGAGTAAATTATCTTGCTGATCTATCCATATGTGTGAATCACAGAGATGTCAGAGAAGAATTATTCGTTTCTCCATAACTGTGGTTATTTAAGTGGCCATCTGTGTATTGATATCCACTACCCAACATCAATCACTGCAGTCACCCCTCTTACAAACCTGTGCAGAAAAAAAATTAAGAGCAGAGAGGAGATGCAGAAAAATGCAGCTCGATAGCCAGTGAAGCCAACACACTCTCAATATGCGTGAATTATAAAGCAAGTTTGGGCAATGAAACAGAATTCTGCAGAAATAACAGCAGAACTACCACTCGTACCACATGAAAGGAGGAGGAAAAAGGAGGAAAAAGGAGATGATCCACTTTGAAAATTAGCTGATCCCTGAGAAAAAGTAGAAGTCATGACAGCGCAAGGCACTAATCTCACTAACATGTCACTGTCTCTAAGACAGTATCTTCCAAGTGAGGTGTCAATCACAGGTTGCTATTAGCTCCAGTGGTATTCAAGGTGACCTGAGAAAGAAGCCTCAAAAGACTTCCAACAGGAGAAATGAGGGAAGGAACAGCTTTCACAAGCAATTCAACTTCAGGGTGCAAATAAACCAAGGACCCTTCCACCAGTCTGTGAAAACTTAATGAAAGACACTAGTATAGGCACGTTTCTTGTATCTCTGTGAGCGTTTAGCCAGGTGACAGGAGTGTTTAGGCTATAAGGATGACTGTGAAGAGGGTCACAACAAACAGGCCCAAGGGAACCCTAAGAAACAGCAAGCTGACAAAAATCAAGCCAAGGATGAAGACTGATAGCTAAAGGAAAACAGCTGAATGCAAAGTATATTTTTACAATGAGGACTGCAACCGAGAACTTCAGCAGGCCGCTCTCCCCTCCCCCATGGCACAAAAAAAGAACTCAACCAAACATTGAAAGTGCAATCACATGTTTCCTGCAAACCTCAGTTTTGGGGCCTTTTGTGGGGCCCTGCTTTACTCATTTGAGTCTAGGACGGTCATATATCAGTGCACCAGCTAAATCTGAGGGAGCTATTGGACTTTCCTCAGTCTCCAGACAGGGAACTAGATCTCAGAATGAGCAATGCTGAAAAGAGGGAAAGATTTTATTGTGTATTACAGCATGGATGCCTGTGGAACAATGTCTTTCTCTCTGCCTCAGCGCAAATAAATTTGGGTATGTATTGGGCATATAATTATTGTTTAAGATAGGGTGAGTTACTCTCATGGGGCTCAATGTTCCACAGCTTAGCATTCTGCATCACAGGGCCACTGAAACAAAAATGGGGAGGGGGAAGAATCTGGAAGTGGCTAGAACTCCACTTCCAGTTCTGAAAAATCAGGGTTTTGGTTTGTTTTTTACTCGGGTCGTTAAATGGTATACAGGGGGGCTGTGACCTTTTAACAGTCAAATCATTGTTCTTGGAAGATTCGTGAAGATGCCGGCCACAGAGACTGGCGAAACGTTAGAACATTCAGAACACGGCCAAAGAGCCCGAAAAAACCCACAACAACCATTCCAAGAATAGCCATTTGCCTCTCTCCCTCTCCCTCTCTGGAAAAGAGAGTGCCAAAGGCCATAAAAACTGTCTTGGGGACCATGCTTTGTACACTTCTACTTTAGACAGTAATGCAAAAAAGCCACACTTTGTCTTAGGGAGCAACTAGATTGACAAATAATGTGAGAAAGGCTCTAGGATTCGAATGGCGTGATTTATATTCTTTTCTGTTGACTACACAACAGAAAAGTTAATCCAAACCAGCCTGGAGTTTTTCTCCAAGTCTACCCCACTTTTTCCTCTGCCACTGACTTCTGCTTCTTTCAGACTGAATGAATTTGAATCAGTTCAAGCAGTGTGATCCCTTGAGCTGATACAGCTTCTAGGCTGAACAGGCAACTGCAAGCTGGCTCTCCCAGCTTCCTTGTTCAAGGTGACAAGAGAGAAAGCTAAGAGGCACTCAAATGGGTGCCAGTTCCCCTCAACCAAGCATCCCTTGTCTCCAAAACATGTCTTGTTTTATATACAAGCACTGGTGCACTAGGTCACCTGAAGACCAAAGGGGGGAAAAGTGCAAGGAGTCAGCAGAGAGCAAGGAGAAAATTGCTAATTTATAGCCTGTAAAGGTAACTATTTGCAGCTTGTTAAGGTAGCTCTCAGGTAGCCCTGCCTCCTACAAATCTGAATGACCACAGCAGAGCTACCTTAACAAGTTGCAAATATGGCAGACTGCCAGTTTCCTCCTCTTTCCTTCTCTGATGGTTCCTGTGTGGTTGGCTAAAGCAAACTCACGTGGGGAAACACAACTTCCTGGATGCAGCTTTGCAATAGGTCCATTCATATTTTCCTCCACGATGCAGTTGTAATCTCACTTTATCACATGCACTCCAACACAGAAACATGAACTACTATTATTTTGCAACAGTTCCACAAAGGCCTGCTACCTGTGATATCTGAAGGGTCCACCTGCTAGTATCACATTTTGGCACTGCAGCAAAAATCTCTTCTTGGATGCTCTGTCCTGCCAGTCTAGAGTGCATTACATTGTGGGTGAATACTTTGGCACCATCTTGCACCATCATGGACTCATGCACAATTTGAAATTAGCAACCTTTCTGACAATGGGAACACTAGAAAGCTGCTCTCCCTGTGTTACAGCTGTCCTAAAGCAGTGGTCCCCAACCTTTTCCAACCCACAGACCGGTTTGGGGTGCAGGGTCTCCCCGTGTTACAGCTGTCCTAAAGCAGTGGTCCCCAACCTTTTCCAACCCACGGACCGGTTTGGGGTGCAGGGTCTGGGGGGCACTCCCCGCACTCGTGGGGGCGGTGATCTCGCACTCTCATGAGGGTGGGTCCCCCATACTTATGGTGTGCATGCTCATGCACATATGGCATGGGGGTACTCATGGGATGTGGGGGCCCTCACATGCATGTGCGGATGGTGGGGGGTGCACTTGCAGGGGACAGGGCATACTCGTGTGAGCGGGACATCTGTGCTGGCAGGTGGGTGGGCCATGTGTGTGTGGGTGTGTGTGCGTGCTGGGGTGGGTGGGAGATCTGTCTCCTATGGCCTGGTCCACAGACCAGCACCGGGCCACAGACCGGGGGTTGGGGATCCTTGTCCTAAAGCATTCAGATTGAGACACGATTAAACTCTATTGATATATTACTTTGATATTTGAAAGTATTGTTAAGTAACTATCAGGGGTTAGCCTGGAATTCATTTATGCCAACCAAAATATGAGCATTCACCAAACAGACAAGTAACAAAGTGCATACTGTTAAAAGTTGGGCACTGGCATTTGTGAGAAAGTAAAAAAACCTGAAAAACAGAATATATGCAAAGAAGAAATTAAAAGAAAAAATAAGAAAAATAAAATAATAAAATTTAAGTAATAAGCTAAATCCAGTGTTAGTTTGAACATTGTATAGTAGATCCACTGAAATAATTGAATCTAGAGGATAACACATCATGTCCTTCCTTCATCTGCTTTTGAATGCCTTGTCCTCTAGGTTCTACAACTTCCATCTAAGGAACAGGATACTTTTACCAGAGCCATGGAAGAAGGTGGAAGCTGAAACATTTTGCTTAAATGCTTTGTTAGTCACGTTTGCAGGTATGATGTACTTGTGTTCTCCTATATATGTATTGATCAAAACAAAACCATGTGGACATGGCCCCTTATATATTTCAGTGACAACGAGATGTGATAAATGGATCATTGATCTGACACAGCAGGGCTGCTCTAAAATTCTAAGTATGTTTTTAAACATATGATGTAAACCGATTACCCTTTAAAAAACTTTCCAGTTATATGACAAAACAATATATATCTAATTATTTTACACAAGAAACAAACACCTCTGTTACAATTTCCAGAGAAGTAGCCATATTAGCCTGTTTCAGTGTGTTGGCAAAATTAAGGGGGTAGGTGGGAAGACAAGATATTCAGGAGTCTCAATATTTTGATCTACAAATGCTCACACTGAATAAAATATGTCAGCCCTTAAATGTTTTCCTCTTTTTTTGGGACCCCCACCTCATCTTCTTTAATTTTGCCAACAAATATATCTTTGAAAATCCTAGAGAAGCAATCAGACCATGATTTTGCCATATTGCAAATCCAACAGTTAACCCCTTCCTCTTCTATGAAGTCCAAAAAGACTATGTCCTAAAGTCCTATGGTGTACAAAAAGACTGTTCAATTGAAATCGTGTGTCTCACTATTATTCATTAGATGGCTAACCTGTGATCCCTTTTCATAAGTTTATATTTCTGGAATAAGTTAAATTGCTCAGTTTATTCAGCCAAACAGGGTAGAATCAACTACTGTACATTAATGAAAGTCTCAGAGCAGTTTAATGCAATATGCATCGGTTTACTATCATAACAGAGACATTCACCTGCGAACCAGAGCCAAACGTGGCTCACAACCTGCATGATGTATCAGTTTTGGATTTAATAATTCATCCGATAGCCATGAGGTGCATGTCATTCTTTCCATGCAGGAAGCTGAGCATACTAAGCGGTATGACGGACATTCTGACAAGCTGCTCTATCTCTTCTATCACCATTTTGGATACAAAAAAAAAACTTTCCCTTCTACAGGCTATGTACTAACCTCTTAGCATGTAAGGGCATGGTGGAGTATATTTCACAGTTTTATATTCAAGGTTACTATATATGTGGGAGGAAAGAGGTCACCCTTGCTCAGTTCTTTACTAATTGCAAGACATTGGGTTGCCCAGCTGGAAGGTCTTGGGTGTGTGTGCAGAAATATTCTAACATACTAAGTATTCCAATTTCGAGAGACAGTTCTTAAACTGACCTGTTGGGAACAGCATCACTCATACTGTGTAGGAGAAGATGTTGTCTGTTTACATATCTGTCATTTACAATAACAGCAGATTCCCCCTCCCCTCTGTACAATTCAATAGCCACTAGCAATTTACCGTATCACACACAATTTGCTGCCTGAAGCAGCTCCCCAGTCCCCCAGGGTAGGGCTATCTTTGCACTCCCAACAATGTCTGAATTGCTTTGTCCTATCTGGTTAAGATACCAACAACACAGTTTGAGAGCATCTTCCAATCATTGCATAAACCAAAGCACCAAACAGCTGAAATCTGTCATGAGGGGACCAGCCAGTGGAAAATTTAGAAGGCTTTCACACTTAAACAGCTCATTACAGTTGATCACCTGACAGAATGACGTTGCAGACTGGGATGAGGAGGAAATGCAACACCTCTTCCAAAATGGAAATATTTTCCCGTAATAGAACTGGTGGAATCTTTATCATTCCATCCAAGAATCCAGGTTTCCAAAACCATAGTCTTCAATCCTCCTCAATATGCGAAGCACTTCAGGAAGCAGAAGTCTACTTACCAAACAGATCCATAAGCCCCAGATCCCACAGGAACAATGGAAGTGTATCGCCTAGGTAGTTCCCAGACTGTCCTGTTTACTTCCTGCTTGTAGAAACCTTTTCTCCTGGAGAAGCTCATTTCCTGCGTGTCTGGAGTTGGAAGTCTCCAGGGCACAGGAGCTTCAGAGGGAATCAGGGCTAAACCGAGTTTTTCCTTGCCTCAGTGTCTTCTTGGAAAGTTAATGGCTGTAAGTTTTCTTTCCAGCTGCCGTGTGCACAATGAGACACCTCTTGCACCTCCCTTCCTGCCCACACATCAGGCCAGGAAGAAGGCATCAGGTTTCAAAATAGACACTCCTCCTACAGGTACTTTCAAGAAACTCACCTTATCTGCATAAAAGGTGTACAAGTGTAAGCTGTACCAACCACTTGTGTGATTGATACAGAATTGTTGCTGCAGTTTAACCAAATCCATCTGAATCGCAAAAACCCTGGTCTCAAAAAACTTTCAATAATAAGAGAAAGCACAATATAGATTAAAAGTAATTTTTTGGAAGATTGTAAATGGAAGTACTGTAAATGAACAGGCATTATAAGATCAAAACGTGATTGTATTGTTGTTAAACGCTATCAGGTCACCTCTAATTTATGGCAATCTGATGAATTAAAATCTCCAAGATGTGCTGTCCTCAACAGTCCTGCCCTGCTCTTGTAAATTCAAGCCTGTGACTTCTTTGATGGAGTCAAGCCATCTCGTATTTATTCTTCCTCTTTTCCTGATGCCTTCAACTTTTCCCAGCATCACTGTCTTGCCTTTTCATGATGTGCCCAAACTATAGCAGTTGTCTCCAGAGATAGTTCAGGCTCAATATGCTTTTGGACCCACTTGATTCTGTATCTTTCCTCAGTATGGAGGAAAACATTAAAGAAATTTCTATAAGGTTTATTGCGTAAATTAGTAATGAAAATTATGGGTATCTGAACAGAAAAAAGGTTGGAAATGGTTAGAGAAAAACTATGTATTTTTCAACATTTTCTGAAGGAAACATTTTTTTCCTGACACAAAGGAACATGTCTGAAAGATAATAAATCAAATCTTTGCCTGGACTTAAATCCAATACTATTGCTCTTTATATAAAATATATTTTATTTTTAAAAAGAATATTTATAGTGGACCCTCGACTTACAGATGGCTCGACTTACAGACTTTTCGAGTTACAGACTTCTCTGGCTGCAAAATTTAGGTTCGACTTGCAGCCGGAGAATCGACCTACAGAACAGGAAAAAAACCCGAAATGGAACAAAAATGGAACAAAGCCGGCCGGTTATGGAATTAATCAGTTTTCAATGCATTGTAGGTCAATGGAGACTCAACCTACAGACTTTTCAACCTGCAGCCACCGTTCCAATACGGATTAATTCAGTAAGTAGAGGGTCCACTGTATTTTGTAAAATGGGATGGCAATGTAAATATTTTATTGGAATAACCACTAAATAACTAGCAAGGCTTAACACTCTGGAACAAGAAGCAAACTGTTGTGCTATGTAAGAACTTTTGGTCAAGATCTAGTTGCTAAGTGTAATGAGTTACACTAGCATAGGAATCAGTGAAACTTAAAATTAGTGGACTCACCAAATCTCCTTTGATTCAATGGACTTACTCTTGTGTGATTTACTGTACTAAACAACAGGATTTTAATCATTATTTACCACTAATCTATCACAGCAATATTAACCTCTCAATGTGCAAAGGCATTTTCAGAAAAAGTTACAGTATAACATCCTGGCAAGAGGACAGAAGCCAATGAAAATGCACCCCAAAAGGCTTCTGTGCTGTCACAGAAGTCTCTGAGGTGCGCTTCAGCAGACAGGATATCTTTCCAAATGAGAAACAGCTACAGAAATTCCTGTCTTATCACGATTACCAAGGTCTCAGATGGAAGATCTTCACTTTGAACACTCTTTTTTGCCCCTCTCCCACGCATATGTATATACAGTACTACCACTGTGGGGGAAGAGATGTGCCACAATGGAAGGTGTGTGGATCAGCCAACAAGATAACCGTGGCTCATTCTGAATAATCCTGCAGTGCCAAGAAGTGTAAAACACACACACACATTTTAAATATATTAGTTTAAAGTTTGTGTGGAACCAGCACCTGAAACACTCATAGTCAGTTAACAAATGAACAAAGCCTCACATCACAGGTAAAAACAAAGCTGCCTCAGGATTACTAGCTATTTTTGGCCTGGGCAAAACCACTTTCCAAATCCTGAAGGGACAACAGTCAGTGAAGACCTTATTGTAAAAGTTAATAATAACGATTTCAAATGCACAGAGAGGTTATTTAGCAGTAGGGTTGTGTATGGTTCCCCCGATTTGCTTCAGAGGTCACTTTCTGCCATGGATTCAGATCAGTTTGTAAAACCTCCTGCTGATTTGAATTGGAACAAGTGAAGGGATTTACATACTAGATATTTTTGAACAAACAAATTAATAGGCGGAATCAATGTGTATCCATCTGAGGGTACAACCACACAGGGAGGAAAACCCAGTTTGCTCCGAATTTTTTTAAAACAAAAAACTATCCAGGTTTCTGCTCTTGAAATCACAATGGTTATTCATAACGATATGATTAATGACTTTGCAGGAGTCCACACCATACTTCCCAATCAGTTCAGTTTCCTTTGGAAAGACAGCTACATTCTGTTAATGCTGCCTTCTTCCCTGTCCCTTCTCTTTGTACTCTTAAAATTTTTTTCCCCAGAAGTGACAGAACACTTTTCTGACATAGTGCTAGTGATACAAGCATAATTTAAAGAGAAAAATTGCTTAGAAGGAAGACAATAGGCCTTCAATTGACGGGTACTATCCTGCTGTAATACCACACCCAGTGAATACCATCTGTGGCAATTCTGTCCATTTTGAGCTTCTATGTAAAAATTTATGTATAACTACCTATATCAGGTTTGTATATAAAGAGTTCTGAATGCCTGTACTACATCATATAGGCATGAGCAGAGTGCTAGTGCAATGGGGAGTTGAAGGACAGAATGATGACTGGTTAGTGTGATTGGAATGTTATGGGAGTGAGTTCTGTGAGTCTGTTGAAATATGACTAGAGAGAGATCAGAAAAATTTCAAGCAGAGAGCTTAAGGGAGTTAGATGTCTGTTCAAGAGTTAGTGGTAGTCTGTGGTAGAGTTTATAAAGAGATGTCTGTTCAGAGTGGTTAGTGTGTGTGTAAGAAAAAATGAGAGTTTGTAACATGGTTATTTTCAACTTTAAATACTGAAGAAATATACTTAATTCGTATTTTTGTTTTATCCTTTGCTGTCATATCCAAGAATGTATCTTTCTTTTAATATCTACCATATCACCAATGGTCCAAAAGTATAAATCTTGTTTTATTGTTTAATCAGCTGTCCCCAGCCTTTTTGGGACCACAGGCTGGTTGGGGGATGCGGGCTCTGTGCGCAGGGGGGCACCCCCCATGCTTGCGAGTGGGCGTGTCGGACTTGCGAGCATGACATGCCCCTCCGTGAGCACAACACATCCACCCGTGAGTGCAACAAGCCCCTCTGTATGACACACCCCTCTGCGAGCGCGACATGCTCACCGTGCATGCATGCAGGGGGTGGGGTGGGCAGAGATCCGTCTCAGTGGCCCGAGTTCCAGAAAGCCCACGATCAGCACCAGGCCACGGACTGGGATGGGTACCCCTGATTTAAACCATTCTCTCATTATTATTTGTATATAAGGATAAGCAACCCAGACTACTTTAAGAAATTTCACAGAACAGAATTATCTAAGATACCAGCTTGCAGCAAATGAGGCTCCTGTTTGGGACAGTATAAAAAGAACAACTCCAAAATACTTGGAAGGTGGTTTTGGAGGTTGTTGTTCTTGAAGTCTAATGCTTTCCCTATTAGCAGTAACAAGTAGCAGCCAGAATTTTAGGCATCAAAAGGTGCCTGAATGCTTCCTATAACAGCCTAAGAATTGTGACACAGTAATGTGAAAATTTGCAGAAACGTCACACTATCAACACTATCATAGGACACACTCACAACTGCCCCTTTGGATCAAGATAGGCAATTGCATGCAGCATAAAATGGAGAAGTGCAATGGCATCTGAACTGGTAGAGAAAAAAACCCACTCCCTGAAGTCCAAAACGTCCAAATGGCACCTGCGTAGAAATTGTCTTCAGTGATACACACTGTTCAACTGCTAGCAGAACCACCAATACAAGGATGGAACATTGAGCTTTAGGTTTCTCTGGTTGCTGGACAGCATCATGATGGAGTTAATCCCGCCATGTCTTGCCTATGTAGCTTTTCAAGAAAGACTGCTGTGTGAAACAGTGCACTAGAGCACTGGTTCGTAACCTTGGGTTACTCAGGAGTTTTGGACTCCAACTCCCAGAAGCCTTCACCACCAGCTGTCCTGACTGGGGTTTCTGGGAGTTGCAGTTCAAAAACACCTGAGAAACAAAGGTTAAGAACCAGAGTAGACAAGATGAACCAACCACCATGCTTGGGGGAGAGCATGTGTTTTGCATCTAGATGGTCATGGATTCAATCTCTGGCATCTCCCAATAGGGCTAGGAAACAATCCTGCCTGGAGAGCCACTGCCAGTCAGTGTCAACAGTACTGACCTAAATGGGTCGCAGGTCACAACTTCCTATGCTCTGTGTTCTATTTCTGACAGAAGTCTTCCATTCTTAAAAACCTTTAGGAGTGTGCAGCTTTCAAGAGACAAGTTATCTTCAACAGAATGAGGAAGTGTTGATATTATGATGCAATATAGTGATGCAATATGAGAAATTTAAGACAAATCATCTATTACAGTATGAACATTTGCTGATGGTTAATCACTTACAAGCATTATATGGCCCATTAAGCAAATGGCAGATGGATCTTACAGACTATTGTAACCATAGCTTATGAGTCAGATTTATACTGACACAATTTGTCAGGCCTGCTTGAGTATAGTCCAGATAAACCGTCTTGTAAACTGATTTTATCAACTCTATGCTTGAAGAATTTCTCACAGGACTTGGGCTGGAAGATTTTACTGTCGGCTCAATGACAGCCACACTATGATGAAACACAGCTGACTAGCTGAATGGCTTGCTGCCTCCCAGCTTGTCTTCTATTGTTGGGTAATTGGCTCATATCACCACAAGTCATTCCCATTGTCATGATCACTTCATCACATGCTGATTTGCAGAAGTTTGCAATTAGATTGATAAATGAGCACATTCTGTCATTATGAGAGGTCAAAGGTTTGGCCACAATGAAAAATGTGTCAGGAGCTAATAAGTTTGAGCAAAGAATGATTAACATTAACATGTTTGTCATGTTCCTGCACTGTTTTGTTTTCATCCATCTGCTTACGAGGACATCCAGGACTTTGCAGAAGCAACACCTTGTGCTAAAAAGAATATGTGTAAGAGCTTGATCCCATTACCAATAGAAACAGGATTTGAACTGGGTCTAGCAAGTTTTAATTCAAAAATTTTCAAGGCGTTTACATGACATACAAGACGACCAATTCCACCCCCCTCCCCCCGGATTTGTTTTTCTGTTCCTCCACTAAGAACAGAAAAGTCCCCTAGTGGCCATTAATTTTAACTTGGTTAAAACTTGTAGTTTGGGGAAGTCACTTGCCCAATGTGCACTCCTTTGTTGAGGGAAATTGCTCCCCATTTATATGTTGCCATGCTTGTTCTCTGTGTTCATGTGCTTATCTCTCCTCTACCAGGGAAAGAGAAGCGGGCAGGATAACGGCTGTTTATTCCTCAGCTTCCTCTGCCTCTCCTTTCTTTCCTTGCCTTATTCATTCCCATTTCCCTATCCATATATGCTTTCTTGGAACAAAGTTCAAAATGGGCAGAGTGAATGCAGAATAAAACAGCAGGCCTGATTGGGGAACAGTGCAGCTGACAGGAACCCTAAATGTCACTTCCCTGTGTGTGTGTGTGTGTGTGTGTGTGTGTGAAAGAGAGAGAGAGAGAGAAAGCGAGAGAGAGAGAGCGCACCTGTCCGATCTTGAGGGAGGCAAATGGGCAGGGAGGAGGAGATTGTTTCTTTGTAGGAGGGACAAAGAAATGTGTGGCTCTCCAGATGATGTTGAACTACATTTCCCATATTCCCTCACAAGTAGCTATGTTGGCTACATCTGCCAGGAGCTGCAGCCTAACATCTGGAGGGCCATATATTCTTGACATGTTTTAAAATAAATATGAGACATATTTTTATATGTATTACTGGACTTTAAGGGACCATAGAACTCTGTGATAAAGGTAAACCAAGAGAATATGCTTACATTTGACAATGACAATATGGTATCTGTGAAATCAATATAAGTTTTCGGATCCCACATGATACAGTGACCTGAAGCTGATCAGGGCAGTCCGATTAGTACTGGATGAGGATCAGCAGCAACCCCTATATACTGTACAGTGCCTCGCATAGCGACGTTAATTCGTTCCGCAAAAATCGCTGCAAAACAAAAACGTCGCTATGCGATATTAAAAAGCCCATAGAAATGCATTAAAACACGATTAATGCGTTCCTATGGGCTTAAAACTCACCGTTCTGCGAAGATCCTCCATAGCGCAGCCATTTCTGGTGTCTCTTAAGTGAGGAATCCGTCCCAAAAAACAGCGGGTGGCCATTTTGAAACCGCTGATCAGCTGTTAAAAAATCATTGCTTTGCGATGATTGGTGCCTGAAACAGGGAACCGATCATCACAAAGCGAAATTCCCCCATAGGGAACATTGCAAAGTGATCGCTTTTGTGATCGCAAAAAATGCATCGCAAAGTGATTTCATCGTAAAACGAAGCGATCGCTATGCGTGGCACCACTGTATATTGTCTTCCATAAGAAAGGCTGAATTTTGTACATGCAGTAAAGATGCATTTTGGAGAAATATATATATTTGTATTATGCACCCAAAAATGCAATCCAGATGTACTTTACATTGCATTTTACATGCAGTTTACATTGATAGCAGAAATTTCCACTCTGGAGTGTCTCTGTTTTGGGATACTGCCTTCAACCTGACACATGCAGTTTTACAGTGAAATATTTTAATATTTCTGGTGTGGATTTCTGCAGTAGTCCCCTCCTCAGAACAATCATGATAGCTATTCTTTCTGAAAATGTGGCAATGTCTTCAAAAGTCTGAAGATTGTACCAAGACCATCTTAATTTGTTACACTTTTCTTACATTCTCTGTTATGCAAGGGGTTGTAAATTGTAATATGGTATTGCCAGCTGTTTGCATTTAGCTAGTTTTACAATAGCCCAGCTAGATGTCATCTTCTGTTCCCCTCTCAATACTTACATTGTTCCAGAGTCTTGAGATCTCAACTTTTAAAAACAAAATTTTCCTTAAATTTTATAACTTACAAGTTTATATTGATTTTATATTGTGTATTCACAAAAGGCCTGTGTGCTATACAATAAACTGAATTGGTTTGAGCACTAAAAACAAAACACAGGGTTAGATAGTTCAGGGTCTGAAAATACAGGAAGCCTATTGACAACAAACTATAGGGGCATTACTTTTTTATATTACAGTTCTCAAAATACTCCAGCTAGGATGGCCACATGCTATGCTATTTTGGATATTATGGGAGTTACTGTCCAAAATTTAACTCTTTCCATCTCTGTTCTCAATAAATTAGTTCTAAGTGAGAAGCCTTCAGATTAGCTTACTCTTAAATGCATATGTAGTATGTACATGATCATTCAATTTCTGTCTGTACAGTGCATAATTTGGACACACTAGAAGACTTGTTTAAATAAGCAGTCATTAATGGATGCAAACTATGGAGTATTATTTAAACTGTACAGATACAAGCCCAATACACGCTAGTAAAATGAATAATTAGGAATTACCACAATTCAATTCCTTTTAGAATAGTACTAGAGGACATAACAAGATATGCTCACACTAATTCCAATTTCTTCAAGGTTTGTTTCTAAAATTTATTTTAGCAGTCAGCTTAAAAAAATTGATAACAAAAGTATCCTTAGAAAGCCCTCGGGTCTATGTTTTCAGAGAGTCAGTAACAACTTCCTAGGAATGTAACTAGTAATCTATAGTTTTTATTATCAGATTACAGTTTTGAACAGGCTCACTCTGAGGCTATATTCAACAGTAATTTTGTTGTGCAGGGGGGAGAATGGAGGAAGTGAGGGCAGTATTTTAAAAGGCAATACAGGTAATCACCCAACAAACACAGTGACGAGTCATGAAAATTATATGTAGTCCTATGAATAATGTTTCTTTATCACCACTGCTTCAACTTCATTATAAAGAGGCATTAATTTATAACCAACAGTCCATTAAATCTGAAAAATAGGTTTATTTTAAAACCAGTGGCATTGCGTTATATTCTTTATGGCATAACCAGTTAGAATAAAGTTCCTGGATACATAAAATCTGCAGAATTTCTCTTTAAAGTGTGTACTTTTCTGTCCAGAGTTCAGGCAGTAGAACAGCACCACACTAACAATAAGGAGTGCACTCCACAGGGGCTCCCACACAGAATCTCAGATTTGAGATATTTCCACTCACAAATATACCTACATGTTTTTTATTTTTTAAAAAACCATTTATGCATGAAAGTCACATGGTAGCTTCTACACATAAAATGACAGAAAAATAATCCTTCTGTATGTTTTACAGAATATATCTACATTTCCATCTGAATATCTGGACTGCAGGCCCAGCAGAGGGATTTGATTTTGTTTGGTCTTAAAGACGTTTCCAAACAATAATCATGAAGGAACACTGTTCTTTTGACCCTAGGCTTCTCTAGACAGGATCTGACCTGAAGGGAGATCACTAGAATGGAAGGATCTGATGGCTTTACTATCCACATGCCTTCTTTTTTACAGCTTTTCTGTACAAAAGGGATAAATACACACAAAAACCTAGATTCATCAGACAAATAAAAAATTGCAAAGCTTCACTCTTTCAGAAACAGGCATACAATCCATGCATGATATCTGTGTTGTACTGACTTGGGAAAATACTGTAAAAACAGGATCTCGTTTACCCAGAATATCTGATGAACACACAATACTTGAACTGATACCCCCACTCAGTCCCTGAACAGAATAATTTCAGTGTTACTTGATTTGTAGTATACATCAATACAATGAACTTAATTTGGTGTTAGGCCCATGCAAGCTGATAAATGAACTCATTTTTAAAGTAACAAAAGGAAGCTCACAGAAAGGTGCACATTCATCAGCCACCTTTCATTAAAAAAGTGCCCTAAATGTCAAAATAAGTTTGAACAAAAAAACAAATAGATGCTGCAATTTGTATGGCTCTGGCTGATTTGCCTCCCCAATACCTCCCCTCTAGGATAACAGAAATAAGTCCTCTATGCTAAAACAAATAGGCCCCAATGCCTCCAACATATAAAAACCTATACTCCATCATAAGAAGATGTACAAATGAGCAGGCAGAACACTGGAGCTACTGCTATGACTTCTCAAGGTTTCTCCAAGTAAAAAGGGAAACAATTTCCAATTTTATTACTGGAAAATTTGCATCCTGGCTATACTACTTAGTCACATATGGGTACTCTATGGCTCATACCTGGAAAGCAGCAAGCTCAAAGATCCACTGCTGAGAACCCACACTCAGATTTTCCCTCAAGCATTTAAGGCACAAACTCTTTATTTATTTATATATATTTTTACACTGTTTCAAGCAAAATACTCCCAAGAGACAGACAAACATTCATGGCACTATCCTTCCTCCTGTACAGAATACTGGGAAGAGGCTTTGGGCATAAAGCAGCTGCATGGAATGGAAAAACATCCCTTACCCTCTCTTCTTTTATTGTGGAAAGCAGAGGGCACAGTTCAAGTAATAATTCAGCTTCCATTATTTAAGTCTTTTCATGGAGGGCCATTTCATGGCAAGAATAACTACTGAGAATTTGAAATCTCAGCTCCCTGCATAATATCTGCCTTGACCCAGAGCAGTGAAAGCTGGTTACCAACTTTAAAGGCTAAAAAGCAATCAAACAGATCTTCAGAGGCATGTCCCAAAATGTATACAAAAACACAAGAGAACATGCAGCATTATTTATACAGTTACTGTATAAATACTTTCCTCCAAATCCTCCTTCTCCCCACCCCACATTCAACACACACAAAAACACATATAAAATTCCCTCCACCACGGAGAATCTTCACGGCAAGAGGCACTTGAATGATATGTGGAGACTGCCTATGAAAAAGGTCTTCTCCTCACAGTGATATGAGACAAAGAGAAACAGACTCTCAGGACTCCATCTCCTCTTGGTCTAGTGGTGGCGGCACAAAGCTAATTACTTCATCATATGTCAGGCCTGATGGAGAAAGAGAAAGAAAAAATGGTTAGTATAACTAATAGGTAACATTTTCCCCCTAACCCTCAACCTGACAAGGATTCATTCAAAGTTCTTTAAATTCTCAGGCCTGTTTAGTACTGCTAACTAAAATAAGGTGCATTTTCAGATGTACACTTTAGGCCTATGTAATCAAAGGCCTGTAATGGGCCGGGGTTGTTGTTGTTGTTGATAATGATGATGATACCACCACCACCACCACTACTACTACTACTACTACGCCATTAAGTCAATTATGATTACCCTTCCCATGGTTTTTTAGGTAGAGAACACTCAGAAGTGGTTTACCATTCCCTTCTGCTGTGGGTGCCCTGGGACTGTACAGCTTGTCCACAGCTACACAAGCTGGCTCTTCTCCCAGGAGACACATTGGGGAATCAAACTCCCAATCTCTGGTTCTACCTAAATCACTGAGCTATCTGGCCAGCTACGTGGGCTGGGATTAGGGCTAAAAAAACCTATTTCATCCATTATAATAAACTGAATGTTTGTGAGCAATCTGACAAAAGCCTTAGTAAAAAATAAGGGAAACATTTTATGAAAGACCATCCATCATGAATTGTACCTCATCATTTTGGCAACATTGAGAGGAATCAGTGAAAAGATGTTTGAAAGCATTCACTAATTTGAAGCAAAAACAATGGCTGTTCTCATCCTGATCTGATTGTGACACTGCATAGCTAGATCAGATTAACTTCACGATGACATTATGCTGCCTATGTAACTCCTGAGGCAATTTCTTTCAACAAAGTAGAAGTCCTTTCTCGTTTCCCACTTTCTTTCAAAGACAAAGAAAGTGCAGATCAAGAAAAACACTGCAAATGAACACATGAAAATATGAAAGCAGGTTGGTTTTGAATCTCTTCCACCCTGCCTAATAGAAACAGCATTAAGTGCATATTAATCAAGTCTACTTCACAAAAAACTGGATTCATTATATTGGTAATTCAGCAATAGAACTTCCACACTCTATCCAGAAGAAATACTTCCTATGGAATTGCTTTTCAATTGATCATTGTCAACATTTTTTTTCTAACAACATGGGTTGTAAAGGCTAAGTCGTTGAATCGTATCTTCCAAGTTTAGGCTCATCAAATAGTCTACATAGAAAACTTACTTTTCCATTCCTCAATATCTAGTTCTCTGCTTTCAAAGGACTGATCATAAGGATCAGCAACTGGCTCATCATCTGGGTCATGATACTGAGCAAAATAGGCATGGGCTAAAGCTTCAGCAGCAGTGATTCGTTTGTCCGTGTCCAGCACCAGCATCTTCTCCAGTAAGTCCACAGCTTCAGGAATGCCAAGGAGGAAAAAATATGGCAGAGGGATTAATATACAAAAATTCTGAAAATTATACCTCCTTCAAATTAGAATTTAGTCCAAGCAGTATGAAAGATATTATACTTTCCCAATGACAATGTATTAGCATCGGAGCCACACTTGGAAAGGAACATTAAAACATGGCCATAAAGTAACATTCCACCTTACAAGAGAGGTCTGCAAAAACATATTTGAGAGTGTACCTTTCAATTTCTTTATGAACAGGAAATAGCAAGCAGTATCAAACTATATGTTTGCATTCTATAACGTAATACAAAGAATAGAACGTGTACATAATGCTTAAATGTAAATAACATGACAATATTAAAAAAACTAGTCCAAATTTCAAAATCAGTTATTATCAGCATTTTATTTCTCAATTCAGAAGTCAATCTTAAAAATTATTTCCTCAAATAATGTCTTAAGACACAAACATTTGGTGGGTATACAGTTTTCAGTATCTCAGAGTAGATTACTTAAATATCATCGTCTGTATAAAGAGTTATACTTTAACACATGAATCTCTTGCACCATTCCACAAGCCATTGGCCATTTTAATATACGCATTTCCCTCACTGTAGCTGAACTGCTACTTACCCAGTGGATTGGCACCAATAAATACATTTTCAAAATTCATCTTCGGCATGTAAGACAATGACTGTATGTAGTTCCTGGCCTGGGAGAAAATAAAATATGTCGTCAATCTTAGTCAACCATTAGCACTTGTGTGTATGCTTTTTCCTGCTCTGAAACTGATTTCTTTTCACCCACACAATGGATCATATGGATGGGGATACTATTTACAACAAGAGCAAGAATTTGGGCCTTATGAGTCCCATAAGGCCGGAAGAGTACTGACCATTATACAGAGAAGTGTGCTGCAAATAAAGGCAAGTACCAGTCAGAGAACAGAGTCACCCACATGCTTTTGTGAAGTTTAATACTTAGCCCTATAGAGAAATTCTCAATGCAACATGCTAGGAAAAAATCATAACCATTCAAATTTCATTCTTTTTAAAATTTTCTGCAAAATGCAATTAAACACAATGACAGCAAAACATGGCCACATGTTTATACTATACAATTACAGAAACTCAATCTCACTTTAATTTGCATGGCTCCTTCCAATTGAATCCTGAGAACTATACTTTGGTGAAGTACTTTGATTTGTCTGCTACAGAGCTCAAGAGAATGTACTATACTAAAAATTTCTAGCAGATGTTCCTAAGTCTCTTGCCATGCCAGGAATTCACTGGCTGGAACCAAGGCAATTTAAGTGGTATCAAAAATTGTAATCATGAGTGTACACATCCATATACTTTCCTTTACGAGTATATTTTACCAGCTTAGGCTAGTTCAGCAGTTGCGGCCCTAACAGTGAGAATGAAACCTTCCCTCAATTATACATGTTCTGGTTACATCTTGACTAAACTACATTCAAATCAGGAATGTTGACTGTTCTGCAACTGCTGAAACATCTGCAGGAACCACAGAACACTATCCCAACAGAATAACAGTTTTACAGATTTCTTATGTACTTCCATGCTCAGCATATACAGCTGGTTTCAACATTTGAAATACTGAACAGTGTGGAACCAGTTCATTGTAATGGCTACCTGTGCTCAAACTTTAAGATCTGTCTCACAAATGAATACCACTAGATTGGGAGGTTTTTTTTTTCAGAAATGGGCTTCTCCAGTAATAGCTCCTGAATCTCTCTCAGGAGGCATACATGGCTCCATCGGTACTCGCCCTTAAAAATCTCTGAAAATACTTATTTTTCAGGCTGTCCTTCTGAAATAATGACTTACTTGGGATTTTAATCTTGCTCTAAAATTGCGTGGAAAAATTACTATAAAGTGTTGTTTTACTCTGTTTTAATTTTGTGAGCTGCCTTGGAAGAGTTGTGCTCCAAAAGGCATGCCACAACCCTGTAAATAAATGAATTAATAAAGTTAGGTTTTGTGATGCAGACTACAATGCACACCCTGTCAGCTCTCACCTCATGGCTGGGCATCCTGTTAATAAGATATGCAGGGGGTGTCCCCGTCAGACGCATGATCTGCTGAAGCTGGTTAATATCTTAGGTACCTAGTCAAGGGCTTTGTTAATATTTCAATATCATTGTGAACATACAATGAAGACAATTGCATGCAAGGCATCTAGTCTGCAAAATAAGACAGCAACCACTCTCTGCGTTACATCATCTTTAAACACAGAAATGTGGACTAGAAAGTAAAACATCTTAAAATTAGAAATTACAGTTAAAAAGGCCTTTCGATGAAGCCAGATGCTAATCACAAGCACTAATCACAACCAACAGGAAGCTTTAAACTGGGTGCTGACTCCTTTCAGTTAAATCAAGAGTCCCTTTAAGTAAGGCAACCAGCCAACTAAAGGCCACTATTTAGGGATGCAAATCCTGCCTTGCCTTGTCCTTGGAATATTTTGTTTTCTCATTACAAAACAGAAGGAATCTTTTTTTTTTGTCTTGGAAAGAATTTGCCCATTTTCACAACTATTTTTTTTTTGCACAATTGCATAAAACACGAAATTAAGATGACTGTTGTTATTTCTTTTGGTTTTTAATTTAGAAACACTGGGTGGACTGTTTCTTTGTCAGCATATTCCTTTGCATATGCTCTTTGTTCTGTGTCTGCTTAAACAAAAGGCACTCATTTCTTGCTGCTTTGTTTTGCACAAAAATGAGAAAATGGGAAAAAGCATTGCCTAATTCTCATGCTGAAGACAAGTATCCTAAAAGGGACTGCTGAATTCTTGACAGTCCATCTCTGCAAAGGGAGGGAGAGAGAGAGAGAGAGACGTTGACAAGAATTCTTCCCCAATACTAAAACAGGTAGAGGTGTTATTTTATTTTACAGTATTTGGATTTACTGAGTTCATTCCTTTTCTCCAAAAAACAAGTTGCAACACCTGCCACAACTTCTTGCAGTATATATGAATGCAAGAAGAGCAAAGTGCAACATTAGACAGCGGCTGGTCTTGTACTATGTAAAAATGTTAGTTTGTTAGCAAACACAAGGAAATGGATTTAACTGAAACTAAAGAATACATATATGCTGGAGGGGCTTGCAAAAAAATTTATCTCTATTTATCTTTCTTTATATAGCACCTAATTTTGTCATGTAGGAGAGGAACAGAAAAGAGGTTTTAACCAATATGATAGCTTTCTATAAATACATGATGAATCAAACTGAGTACTTGTAAAGAGTGTATTTATTTCATTTACATCAGTAAACATACACCTGTCTTTTTTCCATCATGAAACCCAAGGAGGCATACGTGGGAGCTTCCCAAGTGGTCTCTCCCACAAGCAATGGCCAGACTCAAATCTTGTAAGTTTCAGCAGGAAACTACGTTAGGTGCCCTCAGGAGTAAGTATTAGTCTTAAGGAAAAGTTCCCTTTGTAGCAGAAAAATAAAGAGAATCAATCTCTCCTATAAAAATCTCCCCATTTTGTTCTTTTCCTTAAAGAACATCATTGCTCTGTCAAACCATGTATATAAATACAAAAACTGGTTCTCCCCAGCTCTGAAAGATACACAAAAGAAGCTGAAGGCAAAAAATTCTACGTCTGAAAACATCTTGCTCTTCTCTGCTGTCATGTCAAATCTTTCCTTGCATCCTAGAAATGATCTTTACACTCCATTATAAGTGTCTATACTTTCTGCTATTTAATCAGCATCCTTTCAAGACCACATCTGTTGCATTTTTCACACTCACATCAAAAGAATTGCAAATAACTATCCAACAGAAGACAAAGGAGAATCTTTGTCTGCCACGATCATCTGTGCTGCTTTGTGCATCTCCATTCTAGAAGTAGAGATTGCACAAAATACCTGTTAACACAAAGAGGGCTTTCCACTCCAGCACTATGCTTACTATATACCTTCTTACACATGATCTATTACTGTCCAACCCCTTGTTAGCAGAAGGACACAAACAGATACTAGCCAAGACACTTAAGATGACAGATTATTGCATCTTAATGTGTACTACCATTTTGCAATTTTCAGTATTCACCATTCTGTTTCTGGCTGAGAAACAGGCCAAGCTGGCAATTAAAAGAGGAAGATTCAATTCACACATTAGTAATTCATACTGCAGACCAACCAGCTATTGTTTGATAAGTAGACCATGAGACAGGAAATCATCAAGGACATGCTAGTGTTTTATGTTCTCCTCTACGATGAATAATTCTGAACTGTAAATACACACTCTTTTTGAGGCGTGTAAGTTGATATTATTGCTTGACTAGTAAATTCTGCTAAATCCCTTCAGTGTAACTAGTTGGTGCCTATTCAGTTCCCTCCAAGCAACAATCCTATGGCTATCATGTTTGACCTCCAGGACATCCAATGATGTTCAACATGACAGAAACCCATGGTTCTTTTGATGTCATTCTTGTTGTCACTTGAACCTCTCTCAATTTTCAAATTTTGCCAGCCTAATTTAATAAAAATGCAAAGGATCAAAACCATGGGTGTTTGTCTGCTGTTTGTCAGCTGGGGTTAGCTGAGGTGTATTTTTAATCATATAAAAACATTAGAGAAGGGAATGGAAAAGAACATGCCCCCAACCCCCAGCCATTTTCAACAGCAGAAGTGAACAGGTTTGAAGCAAAGGAGCACGTGGAAGAACAGTGTGGGCTTCACTTCTGGCACTGGCACTTCGATGATAAAAAAAGTTTTTCTCACCACTTTATAGCTATGTCACAAAAAATCTATTTGGAAAGTGAGTACACATCTGTTTGGACCTCAAATACTGTATAGAAAAGCACTCCTGAACATGTGTTAATCTACGACCAGTGTAGTCAGAGTCAAACTTTTTGGTGGTGATCTAATTAAATGACTACTGAGTGAAACGATTTTATAAAACAGTCATAATTCAGTTGTTCTCTAATCCAGAATCCCGAACACAGCTGATTCTTTCTCACATGCAAGAGACTACATATAAGCAGGAACCTCTGCTCTTCAAACTTGTTGCTGCTCACATGAGCAAAGTAATGACTGAGCAAGCCATGGCTAACTCTTCCCTCTGTTTTCATGATTGTGGATTAGACTGAGAACAAATTAGCAGGGCTAAAACCCATCCGCATAGATGCATAATGTATATCAGCTAACTACTGCTCTCTGAATGCTCAGACATTCTGTATATAGAAGACTAGCTATACTGCTGCTTTTAAGGGCTGAGCACCTTAAAATGATTTGGCATTTTTCACAGCTGGGAAATTTTATGCTCTGAACAAAAAAACCCAAAATGTTGGCTTAGTAGCAAACTGGCAATGACCTAGTCAACTGAGGAACTGTTTTCTCCTTTACAGGTCTATTCAGTCCTTGGGGTCACAATAAGCCCTCCTAACGGTACCAAGCAGTTGTCACAAAACCATATACTCCTAAGTCCACTGTACAGTTGTTCAGAGGGCATTTAGCATGATGATGCTTGCTATGTGAAATATTCTTTCCTCTGATAAGCAACATGCTTCAGCTTTTACTTTTTGATGGATGCTGAAAACCCAGCCTTTTTTTTGCAGTATTTCCCTGTGTAGAGCTATCTACCACTTATTTCAAGAACAATGTAAATTCTATACTTTAATTTTGTGTACAGTTTAATTTTAAGTTGCATGATTGTTGAAATTGTCAGATGTGCATTTTTAAATTTACAAATATTTATAAAAACACTTACTATGTGGTTCTGAATCTTCTAAATTTATATATTAGTTCTGAAACAAACTATTTCCCTATTAGAACACTGTTTAGATTGCCAGATCTAAACGAACATGTACAGAAGCTCCCCAAGTAGGCTCTGTTCACTCTCTTTGGAGCATGAACGTTAGTATCATATGTATAACAGTGTATAGTAATAGCAAGTAATAAAATCTGCTGGATGTTTAGCTAAGCTTAGCATAGCCTACAGACAGAGAAAAACGGGTAAGATGGGAGAAATTATTTACATGAAGAACAGGAGAAAGGAAGAGAGGGGGAACTTCAAGATGTGCTTAGGGAAACAAGTTGAAGAAACATAAAAATAAACTACTGAGGAAAGAGAGGCAGCCTTTCAGGTAGCAAAGCGGCGGGGGGTGGGTAGGGAGCAAAATACAAAAAGGGCAGGCAATACAATCAAGTTTTAAACTCACAGACTCTGAAGAGATTTTCTTCAAAAGCTCAGGCCCTGGAGTTCCAACGAGTCTCAAAATGAGCTTCAACTGATCAATATCTAACGATGGACCATAAAGGAAAATGCTGGGACAAATAAAATGAAAAAATCATAGCAGCAGCCCAATAAAATTAAAAGGGGAAAAGATTAACCAAAGAATTATGAGCAAAATTAGCACACCTCTCATGTATAAAGCAAGTGCATATACCCACCAATGAAAATCCTGCATCCAAATTTGTTCATGAATAAATATAGGTATTATTGCAGGGGCCCGAAGTCCGAAGATAAGTGCTCACGTGAACAGTGGAATGTTGTACAGGCAAAGCTCCAGTCAGAACTTCATGGATTGGTATTCCCTCCTATTGGAATATGCGGAGAACCAACCCATCCTAGAATGTCCTCTACAGGAAAATAGTCAAATTCTCAAATAACATAAAATTGTGTTGGGGTTCTAAGATCAACAGCCTTAATTCCACCTGCCCCTCTACTTACCTCTGTAACATATCCTATTTCAACTACAACCAGCCAGCTCTCTCCATTTTCCAAACTCAAATTATCCTCTAATTCTGGCAAACAACGTATTTGCTATGAGAACACAATGAACATTGAAAGTATCATCTGTGATACATTGAGATTTTAAGTTAGATTTATATTTCCAGCCATTAGTAAGGTTAAGTCTGAAGGCCACTAGTAAAGCAAAAGACTGGCATGTGCAGGTGTTACTCTCAGTATGAATTACTGTTATACTTAATAACTAAAGCTTGAGTCATGTAGCACCTCTGAGACAAATTTTAATATAGTATAAGCTTTCTGTTCCTGCTCATGTATGCTGCCAGCGCGTCTATTTGTGCAAGCAAAGTACTTAACAGAATACAGCAGAACCCCTGTATCCACGGATTACTGAATTCAAGTCTCCTGTGGATGCTGAAAACCACGGATAATACTGAACATTATACATTAGTACCTCGGTTTATGAAATTAATGTGTTCTACGGGACGTTACGTAAAGCAAAACATTCGTAAACTGAAATGCAGTTTGCCATAGGAACAGGGGCAGCGCTACAAACCTCCAGGCACAATGCATCCTGGGGAAACTTTCTTCGTACTCCAAAAAAACCCGGAAAAAAATAAACTGAGGCATTATTTTCCATGGATTTTGCTTTGTAAACTGAAAATTACATTAACTGAGGCATTCATAAACTGAGGTACAACTGTACATACATTGCATGTTAAAAAAAATTCAGAATTTTTTTTAAAATCATGTATTACCAGAACTGGCCACGAGAGGCAGCCAGATACCATGCTATGTATTCTTCAACAACAACACTGTATATACTTTTTTCCATTTTTTCTTTTACTATTTTTAATATTTTCAGACAACGGATGAGTGAAACCACATATACGGATCCTGCCGATACAGGGGTCCTACTGTATTTACTCTGAATTCTTTTTCTTAAGCTAGTGACTATATGGGAAATCACATCAGAGATCACATATTACCAAATAACATTGGCACACACCATAATATTTAGAGGGCACTTACACAGAACAACTGCTTTCCAAGCTGTTTTGGCTAGGTCTAATAAAAAAACAAAACATATATTTTCTGACTAATCCTTTTTGAAAAATGGACAACACATGAATGCAGCAAAAATACAGCTGTAGTTATCTGAAGATTCTCAGTCATCCAGGCAAGGCTATCTGGAAGTTGAATTACGGCAACTGGACTTCTTTCTTATTAGGTTGAAACCTTTTTCTACTCATCCAAGTAGCTGGATGACTGAAGAAGCTTGGATGAGTAGCAAAATGTTATAACCTAATAAGAAAGAAGTCCAGTTGCCACGACTCAACTTCCAGATAGTTGCTGTTAGAACTTGTATTTCTTTGGTAAACTTATGTTTGCTGCCTAGATTTAGAAATATTACTCACTATAGTTCACTATCTTCTTAAACTACTTTCTAAGAGGCAAAGCAGGAGACAGTATACAGTGGTGCCTCACAAGACGATGTTAATTCATTCCGCGAAGAATGCTGTCTTGCAAAAACATCGTCTTGCGAAACGCAGTTCCCCACTGGAATGCATTGAAATCCATTTAATGCATTCCAATGGAAAAATCGTCTTGCGAAAATCGTCTATAGGAAACCATCATCTTGCGAAGCACAATGGCGATCGCAAAAACTAATTGTCTTTCAGATTAATCGTTTTGCAAGGTAATCATCTTGCAAGGCAGCACTGTATATGGGAATTTTCCAAATTACTCAGAAGCTGACCAACATCAGGAACTGATTATGCAACTAACTACATAAATATATAAAGGCGACAAATACCACTGACATTAGATCTGTCAATACTAAGAGAATTCTAGGTGACAATTTCATCTATGAATAACTAAAGATTAAAAAAGCTGTTAGGAAACACAAAATAAAATTCAAAAGAATGCATAAGCAAAGCAAGGCAAAGCAACGCATGTAGATCTTGAAAGTCACTTTTAGGGATTAGCAAGTCTCAGCAATGACATACAGAAAAAAGCCGTCTGTCACCATCACCATCACTGAATACTAAAAAAAGCAAAGCAGTTTATTCAGATAAAAGCTAGATACAGATATGAGATTAGAATAGGTATTTGAAGCAAAGGGTATTCAGAAAGCATAGGATTCTGAATTGATTTTCTTTCAGAAACCATTTTAGGTTAGACAGTGTTTATGACATCAGTTCTACAGAACAGTTCCATCAGTTTCCCCATTCTATAGGGTTGCAAATAACAGTTTAAACTAAACACTAATTTTCAAGCTCATCCCCTTGTCAATGTGCAATGCCTGTTTCCATGCAATAATTTCAAAACAAATGATGGCATGTATTTGGGGCGTGGAAGAAAAGTTAGAAATTCACCCAATAATAGATCTGACTCAGTACTACCAAATCAAACTTATGCTGATATGTTCAAATTTGTGTCCTTCGTCCAAAACATTCTTCCAAATTTTGAAACATAATCCAGTTATGGAAACGTGCTTTTTTCAAATTTACTATAAAACCAACAACTTCAGCAATTTATTTTCCTTAGATAATCTTCTGACTCCCATGGATGGACCACTAAAAATCAATTCCTTGTTTCAAGAGCAGTAATAAAAGCTATTATGTAAATTACTGATATTTGGGGTAGACATCTATACGCTATGTACTGTATATTTGTAGTGTTCTCATGAGTGTGCAGCATATTATTTTTTCACCATGCATTTCCAATATTCCTATAAGAGCAAGCAGCCCGAAGATGATAGACAGAATCATTCCCCACTTTTGCCTTGCATAATCATCCAACACAGCCCAGATTACATGCAGAAAGAAAGCAAACCCTTATTTACGAACATACAAAACATAAAAAGAAGTAGATGCCCCTGCTGTTGCAGATCACAATATTTGCATGGTAAATATGACAGAGAAATCCACACTTGTAATACTTCTACACTGTTCTTCAAGATAAGTGTTTCTCAACAGAAAGAAACAGAGAAAGTTGACTGCAATGGTACTAAGAATGGAGATACAGTTAACACAAAAGTTTGAAGGCGAATGGGCTAGAAGAAAATAATCCATAATGTGGGCCTTATATCTCTAATTTCTTGTTTCTAAAAATTTAGTTTAGCTGCCCTGGAAAAGCTTCTGAACAGCAGGATACATATTCTTATAGTAAACAGTTTCTGTTCTTTGCACTTTTTATAAACAGAGAGAAAGCATTATCAAAAGCCATGTAAAAAAAAGACTGAATGGTGAAATTAAAAAAATGCTTTGGGTAGACAACCCAAGTATTATGTTCTATAGAAACATTAAATGTTTCAGTCCTACAGAAAGTAACTGTTTAAATCCAATGCAACAATGTCATTTTCAGATTTAACACTTAATGTCTCTCTCAATCACTTACTCTATGGAGAAATTTTGATAACAGAAAATATTTCAGTACTTCTAAAAAGCAGCTTTCACAAGTCTACGCCTATGTGAGTGACATACAACATCTGCACAGATACTTTTGGCTTGAAGGGCAGTCCTTTTAGCAGGTACACTGGAAGCAACAGATGCATCTATAGATTAATCATTACTTCTTTTTTACACACTGGGTGGGTTTGCACATTCAGCTTCTGCAGATTGTCTAATCATTTCTGCTACAAGTGGGAATGGCTAAAGGTATGACAGACCCTCTGTTCTTAAACCTGTGAATCAGTAGCTCTGGCTTGTCTCTCTGCTGTCAAATAAAAGCCACAAGTCAAGGAAAAACACTGGCATCAATAAGCCAGAACTTGCGGCCTTTTTTCCCTGTGCTAAATAAAATGTGGCGAGCAAGTCCATCATTTGTTTAGCCACTTCTACCTGAAGGATGAGCCAAGCAGAAGCAATTGAATACCATACATCAGCACTCTGGAACTAGAACTAGAAAACAAATCTCAGAGAAGTCAAACTATTTGTTCTTTATATCTTCAAGAGAGGGAAACAAAAGCAAAGACAGCGCTTAGCTCTTTCACCAACATTAAACCCATTCCCCAGTACACAACAATGCATTTCAACCACCTGTCAATATCATTATTTAAAATAACATACAGTAGTTGTTACGACTGATCGAGAAAACAGTTCTGCTGCTGTTTGCACAGGAAGAAGTCCAATCCAAGGCTGCAGAGCTAGTTCATAATCCCTTCCATATACACTAAAATAGAAGTATGTGAAAATGAATATTTCGATTTACTTGTAGACACTCTTAAAGGATACGGTCTGTACCAGGGAACAGTGTTCTTCCAGTCAGCAATTCAGCCATAATACATCCAACTGACCAAATATCAACTGGGGGGGAGGGGGGGGAAGAAGTCAGAAGCCAAATGACTTTCTACAACCAGTATACTGTTACTGTGTTCCAGTACTGATTAAAACCAACTGCAGTGAGTAGTTTAGTTCTAAAACCATTTGTAACACATTTGTACTCTGAAACATAAGATATTGCAATCAGATGCACACAGTTGATTAGTTTCAAATATACAGCTACTTCTAAATGATGCTTTCAGAATTGGATGTCTGTGTTAAGGCAAGGTTAAATAATTCTACTGCAGAAGATAATTCTATGGTGTAATGCTATTTGATAATTTCTAATGGTCTTAGACTCAAAACTAGTGAGACATAATACCTGTTTGATTGTAATGCATCCAGTTCAGCATGATCTCAGGAGCTCTGTACCACCTGGTTGCTACATACCCTGTCATCTCATCATCTGTGTGTCGTGCCAACCCAAAATCCAGGATCTATAAAACAAGCAACAGCCATATACTGGTACAATTAATTTTTAAGAAAGCAGAAATGAAAACCCGAGTTGTTCTGCCAGTGCAGAAGATCTAAGACTGAGCAGAACGGCTGTGAACCACTTCTGGGAATGGATTTGCTAAAACTGAGGTTTTACCAAACTGAAGTTGCCCTTTCTTTGTGATACTTCTGTGCTTCTTTGTCATTCTGAAGGAATGTGACTGGCAGTATACCACATGATTGTCTGTGTTGTTCAATATTTTTATAAATGACTTGGATGAGGGTATGTACTCAAGAGGAACTTAAGAAATTGGAGAACTGGGCCAAAATAAACAAAATATGTTTCAACAAGGAAAAATATAAGGCCTAGCAGTTCTGTGCAAAAAACAGAAATACCAATATAATACTGAAGACAAATAACTCACCAGTAGTACCTGTGAAAAGGTATGTTAGGCTGTAACTACACTGACAAACAATACAGTGGTGCCCCGCTTGACGCTTACGCCGCATGATGTCGAAATCGCTTTACGATGAGTTTTTTGCGATCGCTATTGCGATTGCAAAATGATAGTTCCAATGAGGGTTTTTTGCTTGACGCCGATTAGGAGCCTGCTTCGCAAACCATTTGTTCGCTAAGCAATTATTTTTTTGGCTCCGCAAAATGGCTTCCCTTCGTGAAATGGCTTCCCTCCTTTCGCAAAATGGCAGTTTTCTGGACCCTTGCTTCGGAAGACAGCGATTTTAAACAGCTGATTGGCGGTTCTCTATGGGCGATGTTTGCTGGACGATGAGGTATTTCCCCATTGGAATGCATTGACTGGTTTTCAATGCATTCCAATGGTGGTTTTTTTTTGCTTGACGACGATTTCGCTTAACAGCAATTTTCCTGGAACGGATTATCGTCATCAAGCGGGGCACCATTGTACAAGAAAACATGCCAGAACTGAGATGCACAGACTAGTATTATTCTCCATTAACTACATGACGTATAAGTCAATGTGCATCAGCCCAAAATTTTCCCCCACAGTGTCTACCTTTTTACTCCACTGCTGGGGTTTCTACTTTTTGTTAAATTGAATACATTTTCATTGGTTCAGGCAGTGTGACTAGAAGCTGACTCTTCCAGTTTCCAAATTAAAGGTGGAGAGAGAGGAAGCAAAGAGGCACTCACAAGGGTGTCAGTTTCCCTCAACTGAGCACCCCATATCTCAAAATACATTTTTTTAAAGGCTTTGTATGCTAGAGCACATAAGAGACAAAAAAGCAAGAACAAGAAGGAAATTGGGAATCAGCCCTTGTTTGCAGGACTGTACTTGTGCCTCCTGCAAATCTGGACAGTTGCAGTGTTGCCTTAACAAGGTGCTAACAAGTACTGACTGGCAACTTCCTCCTCTTATCTGGAGATTCCTGTGTAAATTGGTTAAAGTGAATTCATTCAGATAAACCCTTCCTGGGTGTGAAGTCACAGCAGATCACTTCACATTTTTCTCACTGTATACTTGCACCCTTAGAAGACCACAAGCTAAATGCGAGTCAATTGTGTGATGTAGCCACAAAAAAAGCCAATGCATAAGTACAGCATTCAGACCATGGGAAATGGTTGTACCATTTTAGTGTGCTTTGGGCAGATTTCACTGTAGCGTTCTCTATTTAGTTGATCTATGGTTCTTGTTGTATAATGTAATGATTGTTGAATATTCATATTGCTGAAAGGCAGAGCCGAGACAGATATATAAGAGGTGGAGTCTGAATCAATATTTCAGTCAGTGTGTAGAGTTCAAGTCAGAGTGTGTGAAGATTAAGTTAAGATAGAGTCAGTAAGAGACATGTAAGAGACAGGCAGGAGAGAAAAGCCAGACTGTGTAACAGAGTATGTAGTTTGGGGAACTTCTGAGGAATTATTAAATACTGAAGATATTCACAAATTAATCTATGTATTCAATAAACCAAAGTTTTATTTTAAAGGACTTCAAGTATGGACCAGAGTCTTTCTGAAGTAAATGGTGATTTAGAAATCACCTGGTGGCAGCAAGTGTAGAAGAAGAGAGTGTCTGCCTTCTTGTGCTCTGGGGGCTTGAAGGTCAAGCAAAGGGGCACAAGGGTGGGCGCCACACTCACCTAGAATAATGTCTACTTCTGGGCATGTCAGGATATTAAGAACCTGGTATGTTATCCAGAGTAGACTATGTCTAGATGGGCGGCATATAAATGCAATAAATAAATAAATAAATAAACAAACAAACAAACAAACTAACTAACTAACTTGGATGACAAAATGTCTGGAAACCAAGCGCTAAGAAAAATGGTTGAGGGAACTGGGCATACAAGAGAATACTGAGAGATAAGATAGTCATCTCCAAATATTTGAAGAACTATCATGTGGAAGATATAGCAAACTTGCTTTCTCTGACTCAAAAAGTATTGGATTATAAGCAGTTTCAACTAAAAATTAGAATGAACTTCCTGATTGTAAGAGCTGTTCTGCAGTGGAACAGACTGCCTTGAGAGGAGGTGGAATCAACTTTTTTTGAAAGTTTTCAATAGAAGGCTGAATAGCTACTTGTCAGAGTTGCTTTAGTGGTAGACTTCCTGCTTCTGCAGGGAGCTGGGCCTGATGAGCCCTGGGGTCCCTTCCAGCTCTATATTTCTATGATTGCACTATGCCTAAGAGCAATGACATGAGAATTCTGGAGTATCACTTTTGCCCAGTCCAGGATGAACTAATTTGAAACTTTTATTGAATGTCTATTGGGTCAACAGTATACCAAGACTCATATTCAGACAACATTTGACCAACACCATGAGACATAGCAACTTAGTCTATTGCTTGCATTCCACTGACATTTAAGGTCCTGAGTAGTGTAAACAGAAATAAACAAATAGGATACCTATAAGCCATGCATGTTCACTGATCCCAAATTTACCTTCAACTCACAGTCCTCATTCACAGCTAGGTTACTAGGTTTTAAATCCTAAAAGAAAAATAGCAATGTCAGTATTACTATATCAACAAGGCAGTCCCAACTCTTGAAATTTAGCATTGACAATGTTCATATCAAAACTCTGAAAACCACCATCAAGCGGCTAAATATAACCCCATCGTAATGTTTCTGAATTTTTCAGCCGCCTACATCAACCTCATGTGAAATTAACAAAAATTATCTACAAAAAAACTTGTGATATGTTACATTAAATTACAAATGAAAGTCAAATTACTATTCTATATGTTCCTGTTAAATTCAGGGATATGAACAGGACAGAACAAATATTATGCCAAAGTAAGACCTAAATAGAATGAATTTCAGCAATCTATGCTCTACTAATAACTAAATCTTCACATATTCAACAATATTTGGGCCCAACTGATAAAACACGGTATCTTTTAGATACAGTATTTTCATTGCATATTTAAATTATGGCAAGACTAATACTCACTCTGTGTATTATGTCAGCAGAATGGATGTACTGCAAGATAAAGCACATTTAAAGGTTTATGGTTAGGGCATTATGTTATTTGCTTAGTGCTTTATGATATTTGTTTAACACTATTAAGATATTGTAATAATTTATTATTTAGTTTTGAACTTTGTTCCTTTTAATACTGTAAGCTGCCTTGGACCCGGAGAAAGGTGACATACAAATATTTTAAATAAATAAAAATACTCCACTATTTATTTATTTTGCATTTAGTGATCTTGTAGTGATACATAAGGAAAAGAAGGGATTTTAAAAAAGTCACTTATTCTCAATCTGTCTCTATGCAAGTAAATAAAATGTCAAATCTAAATGAAATGGAGGGAAGAAAGATGGCTGCATGAAACACAAACCTGTTTGTTAACATGTTATTCCTTACAGATTTTGTCTAGCTTCATGCTATTGAAAACTATAATTGAAGTTTGATTTTTTTTCCTCACCAACCAACATTTGTGGTAGCAAAGTGCCTAGGAATCTGAGAGAATTTCATCTCACCTCAAATCAAATTGAGGCATTCAAGGTAGCACTACAAAGCTCTGGGATACATTTGCTTTTAAAATATAACTACATTAAAAGTAATTCCTAAAAGAACTATGCAAACTGCCCCAACTACTATCATTCTCCATGACAGCTTTCCCAGTGCCACAAAATCTAATTATCTAATCTAATCTGAAGTACTGCTTCTTCTTCCACACAACTGCCCTCTGAGATTTTATTCCAATAATGATCAGGGTGGGTCACACATTAGGTAAGACTATGTCACGTAATGAAAATGAGAAAGGATAACAACTCCTGGACTATTCACATAGGTGATTCTAACCAATCAGGAGCAGGTTTCTTCTTCATGTCAGAAAAGAGAAGAGAAGATTGAAAAAGATAAGAGGAGTACAAAAGAACACTGTAGACTTCACTGAAGAAGCAATCCCCCTCACTAGATCTTCATGCGTCTCCAAACACTTGTTTTCCTACACAGCAGAGTGTAGTAATACTGAGAGACCTAGTGAGATTACATGTACATTTTACAGTCAATAACACAATCTCTTATCCTCCACCACACTTAGTTTGTGAGTTGAATGGAGAGAGGAGAAACTGCCGGATTGATTTACAAGCAGGAAATACCAAGAACTCTGATTTATGGTATGGTACATGGACTATTACGTTTATGACCAAGGACTGAAAGGACTATGCTGTGTATGTATGTACTGCTACAATAATTGATACAATACAATCATTTTATTTACTACTATCAATACTGTCTGGCTGTTTAATGAACGGGATTAAGTCTTGCTGAAGCGCCCATTATGTTCTGCATAATTTGCACCTGTCACAGGGTTTGTTTGCTTTTTGCTTTCCCCCATTTCCAATGGGTCTTGAAGGATCTGTTTGCTTCCCCCCCCCCATTTCCGGTGGGTCTTGCAGGGTTTATTTGCTTTTTTGGGTTTTTTCCGCCCATTTCCGATGGGTCTTGCAGGGTTTGTTTGTTTGGGTGATTTTTTTTCCCCTGGCTGGAACGGATTGTGTTTCAATGCATTCCTAAGGGAAATGGTGCTTCGACTTAACGACCATTTCGAGTTATGACCATCTTCTGGAACGGATTAAGTTCATAAGTCGAGGCACCACTGTACTTTCTAATGTTTGTAATGCAGTTTATGTATGAAAAAACTTTGACACACTTGAAAAGGCATTGCAAAAATGTGTGTATTTTACACATGAAAACATATCCATTAAAAAAATCACTTGGAAAAATACATATAAAGAACAGCATGCACAAAATTGAAAAACACAAACACATGCATTTTACTTCCAATGAAATAGATATTCACAATTCAAGACAGGAGGACAGACCACACCTAGTTCTTTTAAAATGAGAAACTAAGGGATAGTGACAGATTCACTTGCTCTACAACTAGATACAAGACATTCCCATGTGCTTCTTTGAAACGGACAGGATGCAGGTATTTTCTACTTACATATAGATAAGCTACTATAATAAAATTAATTTCACTACCTTCAAACCACGAAGAATTTGATAAATAAGAAACTGTACGTGATCATCTGTGAGCTTCTGACATTTGACAATGTTGTTCAGATCTGCCCCCATAAGATGGGTTACAAGATACCTGGAAAACAACAGTTAAGCAAGGGCATTATCTCTTTGCAGGATAGTCAAGACATCAGTATACAGTATTTAAGGGTTTAATGAAAAATGGTTACAACCGTTTAAACTATCCATAACTAATGAACACAATGTTGAGTTAGATCCAGACAAAGTATGCAATCTTATAAATGTCTACAGAGAAGTAAGCCTCATTAAATTTTCTAGGAATTATTCCCAGGCAATGTCTATAAGACTACAATATACTGTACATTAATGATAAAAATGTTCTGGGATGTTTTGTTGCCTGAGACAAATGGCATCCCCATCCATCCAGGTTAAGGAGCGTAGTACCTATATGCCAGCCATGTTATTTTTGATGAAAAGGGAGAAAATCCCTCAAGCATAGTAATGTTTTCCAGTAATAAAAATAAAACAGTTAATTAAATAATTGACAATCTGTTGCACATGCATAACAGCTATTATCTGCTGCTTGAGGTAACTGCTTCACTCTGACTAACTCCTATTAGTTTCTACTTAGTTTCTACTGAAATGAACATGACTTTAACGTTATAATCAACATGTTGCATTTATCTCAAGACAACTAAAATAGTCTGAATCCAACTCATTATTATACATCTTTAAGAAAAGCCATTAGCTTCACATTTGTGAGCTTTTCACAAACATGAGTATAGTCTAGAATAGAAACACAATTTCTGACAAATAGTGGTAACACATTATAAAAAATATACGCCATTTAATTATTGATATATGACACAATTATATCTGCAATCTACTGAAGATTACAATGGATTTTGAATTCATAAATATAACTCTGCATATATTACTGTTTCAAAATAATTCTATTTAAAAGCCCTTCTCAACATTGTACTAACTTAACTGAAAAGCAATGTTTTGATGTTCTATGTAAGGCAATATCTGAAAATGCATGTATTGTGAAAAGACTCAGACTAATAACAGCATTTATTTTGTAATTTACCATGGGTTTATCCTAAAAGTGAGCTGCTAAACCATTTAAATAATATATTTTATTTATTCTATACTTTATAATGAAAATGTTTAAGTAACAAATTTTACAGAAATCATCAGGTGAGTCCCAGACAATCTCCAAATCAAATATTAGTTAAGCAATGAAAGCTATCTCTGTTTCTTATAAGACTCAGATTTGTAGATTGTATAAGTGATGAAGCAAGGATGTAAGTCTCTGGGTTGCACACTCTCGGCTACTCAACTGTGAGTAAGTCTTCCTACTGCTCCACAAAACAATGAAAAGGTGTGTACAGAGTGTATGACCTGTGGAACAATATTAAGTGTCCATTATATAGTCTTATTAAAACAGGAAGCTTGTATCAACATGTACTTTGAAACTATTACATACAAGTCTAACAGGTTTTAAACACAGCTATTTAAGACATTTGCCATTTAATAATCCACTAGTCTCACCTTAACCACCACAACTATCTATGGATCTGCCTTAGTACATAACAATGACTGATGAAAACTCATTCTAAGCTGAAACCTTTAGTTTTACCACAACTGTCACACTAATTCTCCTGACAGACAAGAGATTTACAGTGATGCCTCGACTTACGACTGTCCCAACACAGACCAGCTTTGGCTGCAAAATTTTGCTTCGACTTGTGGCTGGAGCTTCAAGTTGCAAACAGAAAAGAGGCAGGGAAAAAAGGCGGGAAATTCAAATGAAGGTACTAACCGTTGGTCGGCAGAGAGCTTCTTTGTAGCTCTTTCACCCCAACGGTAACCGTTAGAGAGTGCATCGAAGGAGGCTTCGGACTGCCTGGTGCTGCTTTCTGCTCCTGAGTAAGTACATTTACTTTGTTTTACAGGGTGGGTTTGGGGTTGCGGGGATTATGTTTTTGTGCTGTGATATTTTTTGGTGGTTTTTTTTCCAGCCCCATCGTGTTCCGGTGGGGCTTGCTATTTTTTTTCCAGCCCCAGCGCATTCTGGTGTGTGTGTGTGTGTGTGTGTTGGTGTTTTTTTTTCAGCCCCATCATATTCCGATGGGGTTTGGTATGTGTGTGTGTTATTTGTGATTACAGTGGTGCGCTGCTTAACGATTATCCCGTTTAACGATAAATCACTTTACGATGCCTTTTTTGCTATTGCTATTGCAATACGATGATTAAATGGGAAAAATCCGCTTCACGATGATCGGTTCCCTGCTTTGGGAACCGATTTTTCGCTTTATGACGATCAGAAAACAGCTGATTGTCGGGTTGCAAAATGGCCGTCCGCTGTTCAAAATGGCTACCCACTGTGCTTAGGACGGATTCCTCATATTATAGGCACCAGAAAATGGCCACCCTATGGAGGATCTTTGCTAGACACCAAGGTATTTCACCCATTGGAATGCACTGAGCAGTTTTCAATGCATTTCAATTGGCTTTTTACTTTCACTTGAGGATGATTTCGTTCTACAGCGATTTCGCTGGAACGGATTAACGTCAAGCGAGGCACCACCACTGTATTTTTCAGCCCCATCGCATTCTGACAGAGCTTGTTCTGTTTATTATTATTATTATTATTATTATTATTATTATTGGCCGGAACAGATTAATGGGGTTTCAGTATATTCCTATGGGAAACGGTGCTTCGACTTACAACCATTTTGAGTTACACCCATCTTCTGGAAAGGATTATGGTCATAAGTTGAGACGTGCCTTGACTGACAGACGTCCCTACTTGTGAATTTTTCAAGGTGCGAAAAGCTCCAGCCGCAAAATATTGCTTCGACTTGGGGCCGGAGCTTCGAGTTATGAAAGAAAGAAAAAACGTGGGGGAGGCGAGAAAAGCGCCAAATTTGAACTTTCTGTTAACTGTTGGCCAGCGAAGAGGCTGCCTATCTGCTACCCAGCGGTTAGAGAGTCGACAGGGAGAGAGTCTTCAGATTACCTGGTACTGCACTGTACCGACTGTATTTTTTTTTTTTGGTTTTTTTTAATTTTTGGTTTTGTGCCTTTTTTTAAAAAACAGAGGGACTGCCTGTTCTGGGTGAGTATATACATTGTACAGTATTTACTGTACTGTACAGGGTTTTTTGCAGCTTGGTGGCAGGTAGGGCTAGGTAGGGGGTTATATTTCTGTGCTCTGATGGGTCTTGCAATGTGGATTTAAAATGTGAAAAGTAGACTATAATATTAAATTAAAATTAAATGTGAAAATTAGACTAAAATTTTAAAATGTAAAATTTATTTATTTATTTTTGCATTCTGTAGCTCCTAGGGTTTGTGTACTGTTTTAAAATGTGTGGGTTTAAAATGTGGCTCCAAGGTCTGTCTCTTTTAAAATTAGAAAATATTCTGTGACGGGCCATGGTGCTTGTTGATGCAGGCAGGCAGGCTTTAAAATGGAGTCTACTGTAGACTCAAAGGTGCTTGGTTTTGTTTAAAAGGTTCTTGTTTTTAAAGCTGCTGTTTAGAAGGTATTCCCTCCCCCTCTTCTCCTGCCCTTTTTTTCATCTTAGGTCAAAAGAAGAAAAACTCTCCCCCTAGTGGTAGAGTATGAATTAACCAGCTTAAGAACGGTGCCTCTACATAAGAACGAAAAACAGCCGGGACGGATTAATCAGTTTTCAATGCATTCCTATGGGAAATGGTGATTCGACTTACAAAAATTTCAAATTGCGGCCACCGTTCCAATACAGATTAATTTTGTAAGTCGAGGCACCACTGTACTGGCATTTGTGAACTTGTTTCAATACCCAACTTGCGACTTTTACATTAGTAGTTCAAAAGGCAAAGTATTTCCAATGCAGTTTCTAAGTACAGTACTACTTACACATCATTGAATTCCTCTAGTGACTTTGCAGGTGTGAACACATCTAAAAGACCAATAACCTGAAAAGGGAAGAGGAGGAAGACATACATGAGGAAAAATATGTCAAATATTACTCTGGCCATTTCCAGCTCAAATGCATAGATCATGCCTGCTGGGTGAGCACAAGGACTTCTGTTTGAATATGGTCCCCACACCCAACTCAGACACAGAAGCAAAACAAGAATCCTCTAAATTTCGTTAGTTTCAAATCTTTTGCAACATAGAAAGAGTGAAGTGCAAGTGAAGGAATTCAGAGAAATTTGCTGAGTTATATATACGGTTTCTTTGAGCTTCATTTTTGGCTTCATACCATTATTCTCAAAATAAACTTTTTCCCCAATCCTAATACAGTATTTTTAATGCCACATAGTAGGATATAACAGTTTTTAACTGCTACTTCTATTCCAAGCACCCAAAGGTTTCAAAATGAAAGAACTGGGTGTGTCAGACAGCTCAATAATACTACATATTAATACATACCATGAGATATATTGGACGCAAAGTCTGATAGCATTACATCACACTCATTTAAACTAAATTTTAAATCACAATTTAAATTTTAAAAAATCTGATTTTTTTGATAAATTAAAATTTTAAAAATTAACTTTTTATTTAACTTGTGCTTTAACTTGTGCTTTAAATCAATTTGATTTTTTAAAAAACACTGATTTCTATCCATACTGGAGGTAACAAAAGCAAGGGAAGGAAAAAAATCTGCATTTTTCAGCAGCAGGTAAATGTCATTTCTCCCCTCAGGCATTTTATGAACTATTTTTAGTCCTCTGTACCGCTTTATCAATGCTTCCATTTTTATTTTGCTTTTATCTAACATGTTTCATTGCCATTACGTTGGGTTTTTTTAATGTTCTTAACTTGTGCAGCACCCGAAAACCTTTGATTACTTCCATTATCAAGACTAATTAGCAAACACCCTTACTGCTATCTAAAAAATACCCCCACCTCAATGCAAGGGGAGGTGCAAAACAGGGAGAACATCATGTGTGCCAGTCTAAGTCCATAATTTGGCTAATGTGCAGTGCTTAATTCATGCTTCAAGGATATTTGCTAGTATTAATCACATTTGTCTTTTCCAAAGCCTAATATAAATTAAGGTATTGTATAGGATAGTCTTTATATGACATAGACTCAAGCTCTCAGGACTAGTGCATTGTGCTTTCATATGCACCTCTGAATCTCAGTGAAAATCAGCGTGGATAAAAATCAATGATTCGTTAAAATGTCAAAACTCCCATTTTTAAAATTTAAATTGTGATTTAAATCAAATCCACTCTGGTGAAAATATTGCTGGGAGAACAACCTAATTTGCAGAAATCTCTGCCTACCACTATAGCATATGTACAAGCTGCAGTAACCACATGATTTCTGTGAGTTCCAGAACAGCAGCCATTTTTATATAAAATATGGGAAATAATGGAAGCCAGTTTTTACAAAACCATCTTATGGACATATCCCAAACATTACATCAAAGATATGGAAACATATGACCTTCCAAATGTTTTGATCTATACAGCTTTCACAGCCCTTACCACTCACCATGCATGATACACAGACTGAAAATCTGGAAGACTAAAAGTTGCCCACCATTATATTACGTAGTACCTCTAAATTTGATAGAACATTTTCTATTCATGTACCCTAATGAAGAATCTACTCACTGTGGTGTAGTACTGTATAGAATGATGGACTAGAATTCAGGATATCTGGATCTGAAACCTGAGCCACAGAAACTCACAGGGGTTGGTAGTGTGCAACTGGTAAAGCCACTCCTTAAATATATCATTATAGGTAAAAACAAAATAGAAATAAAAAGTTAAAAAAAGGCAAAAACGTGATGGCATCTAAAAGACTAACTCCATGAAAGCTCACATTAAAAGAGATAAAAGTTAGTCTTTTAGGTGCTACCAAGTTTTGTCTTTTGTAACTTTTATTTCTATTTTGCTTTTACCTATATTGCTTGCATAGACCAAGACATCTACCTCTTCTACAACTTAAAATACAGGTATATCACTTTCCTTGAAAGCCCTATGAAGTTTGCCACAAGTCAGTTCTGACTTGATGACATATGTAACAACATAATGAACAACATGGATTATTAAGAACAGCAGTGAGCACCTCTGCCATGTCTGAGGCCTATTCTCTGATCCCTGAACACTCTGGAGATCACACAAACTGCAAAAAAGAAAAGAAAAGAAAAGAAAAGAAAAGAAAAAGAAAGAAAGAAAAGAAAAGAAAAAGAAAAAGAAAAAAAGAAAACCAAAAGAGTCCAAAAGTCTTCTTCCAGTATTGAAAAATTGGAACTTTAGTTGCTAAATGTTGCAAGAGGAGCTTGACCCATTTAAAAGGTGAATTAGCACACCTGGAAGCTTCCAAGACATGCAACTACAACTTGCCATTCTTTCCCTTTTGTTTTACCAGAAAAAGGTGGTGGGGAAGGAAAAATAGCCTGGGAGTGCATGTGTTTAGTGCAGCTCTGGTTTAGAACCTCACTTTTGTTGTTTTAAAAATAAATCTATACATTTATTTCATTAAAGTATCTGTCACCTGTCACCTCACTGAAAGTCACAAAGGAAGCTAAACCTTCCTCAGATGTAAACAGGAAACTTCATAGAGGGCTCAGAATCTAAAGGGGCTTTATTAATGGTTGCTGTTGGCAAGACTTCAGACAGGCCTTCTATGTTGCAGTTTCCCATCCTTCCTGCATAACACTAGCACCTAACCTATTCCTTGCCTTACTGACTTTTTTCTCCCTCTCTGCTACTACTGTATCTGTTTATTTGCCCTCTACCAACATAGGCCTTAACACAGGCATAATTCAGAACCCCACCATGTTAAAGACCTGCAATTACGCATTTTGATGTGACTTGTCTAGAAGGGCGGGGTAAAATCAAATAAATAAATAAATAAATAAATAAATAAATAAATAAATAAATAAAGTCACATCAAAATGACTGAGAATAAACTATGTCCACTGCTAACTGTACTATGAAACTGCTGCAAGAGTGGCTTCCTGGAAGAATGCAAGATTGTTTGCCATTTATTTGAAAATCTGCTATTATCACAAAGAACACTTAAAGCAGATACTGTATGTGTGATCTGTATAATTCTAATCTGCATAGATACTGGTGACTTAAAAGGTTTTCACCATGAAGTCTCTTCTTGCATTTGAACATATCATTAAACACTATCCTTAAAACAGCTAATAAGCAAGAGTTAAAACAATAATGCAATATAAATAGAAATAATTCAAAACTTTAATTCAGCTGATTATAGCAGTTTCACAAAAATCAGACTATGACATCAATGGAAGGTGGACAAAACTTATTTTTTATAGCAAAAGCAGGTGTGAACAAAACTATTTTTCACTTAACATATAAATGTCAACAATGCAAGGATCAGATAAAATCCCTCAAAATGGATTTCCACACTTTAGGTGTCAGTATCAAGGCTCTGTTCTGTATATTCATCAGTCATACTTGTGGCTGTGGTGGAATACAAAGTAAGCAGATAAAGACCATCTTTTCCCATCTGGTCCCAAGTTCAAAGATTTTGTCGAATACATCATTATCGTGCAATAGTTATTCTTCATTCAAGAGTTATCAATGGCCAGCCTCCAATACGTTCAGTACCATTACACATGTATCTGTAAGGAGTCTACCTGCTACCACTCAGAGGGACAAAGCCTGTCTCTGACCAGAATCAACAGCCCACTAAAGAGGTTTTGGGTGTTACAACTCAAACAGCTGGCATTCAGGACACAGAGCTTTATTTGCACAACTTTAGTCCTTTTCTTATTAGCCTTTATTGAAAGATGACAAGGTACTTTGACAAGAAAGCAGCCACTCTTTTCCCTCACCTACTGTTTGCAAGCATGTCCAAAGAACTAACTTGAATAAAGAACATATAGTTTCACTAAATGTTTTACTTTAACACCCTGTAAGATATATGCTCTCACATTTCTCAGTAATAACAGAATTCATCAGGGCTAGTTCTTGAAAGGGCAAACATACAGATTATGTACGCTGGTCACTGACACACAGACAGACACACAACATTTCTGCATTTTTTCTTGAAGCAATGAAGTGGAGATACTGTACTAGCAGTAAAAAAATTTATGGAAGCATATGAGGAAGAAATCCTTTTGCAACATCACTATTGTAATATACCAGAAACACTCTGGTACTATGAAACATTTTGCAAGACTTCCTACAGTTAAGGACTACCACATGCCATTCTTTTTCCAAGAGCTGAGTTTGCTCTAGCCAATTCCATGAGTTAATCCTGAAGTCAGAACAAACATACATCTCCCAAAACAATACTTTACAAGAAAATACTTAACAACTCTACATCATCATAACTCTTAAACTCTCAAAATAGTTTAAAGTCAGCTAGCATCAGTACATTTTTTTAAAAAAGATTGTTGTAGCTGATATAGACACACATTTTTATCAGCCTTTAACTATGATTAAAGCAATAAAAATAAATGTCAGAATAATTTGTTTCCCTTCCCAAAGCTTCTTCTCTGTAGTACAACCACCACCTACTTTAAATCTGATATCATATCATGTTGATCAAACCTTAGTAAAGCACCAGAGTTTACTCCTAACCAAGCAAAATGCAAATTTCTATGTTTCTTAAACTTACATTTTCATGCTTCATATGTTTAAGCAAACGTAGCTCACGGTAAGTCCTCTTGGCATGTATAATGGACTGAAAAGGTCTGGACAATTTCTTCACAGCCACACGCAAACCAGTTTTAGTATCAAAGGCAGAGCTATAAAACAACATATTTTAAAAATATAAGTATTGTGAATATATATCTAGACTAATATATGTATCATGCTAATGTATGATTTCTGTGAAAATGATTAACAGTCACTTTTATCTGCTTGGAAAAATGTTTAATCTGAAGACTGCAAAAGAAGAAACGAAGTTGTACTTTTCCTAATGAAGTTAGGAGGTGGAAAAATGTAGAGGAGATCAGACAGGTATTCAGAAATTAAATTAAAATGAATAATTAGAAAAATTTCAAATATGTATGAAGTCTGGAGAGTAGAGCAGGATATGCACAAGAAAAAGAGCAAACTTTTGCAATAATGTACTGACTCACAACAAGAGATATAGCAATGATTCCTGCAACTTCCTTCAGTATTTCAACTTCAGTATTTATGTATTGCAACATTTCAGAAGCATGTACAATCTGCATTCCGGTCAATGCATGTACATGGTCATAAGCCCAGCTTTACCAAAAGAAGGCCTCAAGTACTCACAGGATCTCTAGTATTGCTATGAGATATCTAGGTATCTCTTAGATCAGAGGTCGTCAACCCCCAGTCTGCAGCCTGGTGCCAGTCTGGCCTGAGCCGGACCTGGACACGAAGATAGATGTCCCACCTCCCCACACATACTCTCCTCCCCAAAGGTGCTTTGCGCACATGCGTGCATGCCAGCACCAGCATGAGTGCTCCCCCACCCCTTTGTGCATGCACCGGGGCACCCACATGCCTGCTCACGTGCTCCCCCACCCCTTCATGCATGAGCCCGAGTGCCCGTGCGAAGGGATGTGCGGGAGGGCATGCAGGCACCTCTGCGCATGCGCAAAGGGTTGGGGGAGCACTCGTGCTGGTGCACACCTGCGCAGGTCCCCGCCTTTCTCAGAGGCTCAGCCGCTCCGTGGTCCCAAAATGGTTGGGGACCGCTATCCTAGATTATAGCCTTCCAGAGACTTAGAAGTTGTATGTTTAAGCTATCACTGCCCACTATCTATGTTCATGGTTCACAACCTATCATGTTCATACAACAGTTTTTGAAGATTTTTCTAGTACTTCAAGTTTTCTCCATAGAAAACCTAAAGTTACCAAGAAAAACATATTTTGCTGTCAAGAAAACTACTGTACTGAATGTCAATAACTAACCCACCCCACGCCATACATACATCACATATCTAGGGCAGTTTTAGATTTGTTTTTAATGTTGGTCCTTTTTTAGTATGCAACCAAATCAGGACTATTGAAGTAAAAAATAATTCTTTCCTTCAGTTTGTTTCGGCCCTGCTACATTATATATAACTCAAGGGGTCAGGTCTTGCTGTCTGCCAACTCTAAACCATATCATGTTATAGCTAGATATCAGAAATAGTTATAAGAAGAAGAAAAGGGGTGTTTCTTTGCTTTGAATGCTCTCTGTACAGTGCAGGGAGGGTGCTTTTTGAATTTGTTCACAGAATACAAAGCATGATTCTTTTTGGCGGTCAACTGGGGGACTGCAATGTTACCGTTAATTATCCTGCAAACTACCATGAGACGGACTCTATGGAATAGCAATAATGTCTAGCAGAATAAGGACAAAAAAGCCACAAGATCAGAAAGATGAGCAATTCTGTCCGAGTGGCACAGGACATAGCCATAAAAGTTTGCAATGGAACTACAGATGCCTGCCTGAGTCTGCAATTTTTCACAAATTTACCTAGGAGTAAATCCCATTAAGCACACTGGGGATTACTGTACTTCTTAGTGCACATGTTTAGTTGCACTGTTAAGGGTTTTAGCTCTGAAACCAAATGTAAGAGCCACCATATTCTATTATACAAACACTAAATCAGGACGTTTTCATCACTATATCCTCAGCAAGTTTATAATGTTAGTTTTCTTCTGCAACATTAAAAAAAATGCTAACTTACATGAGAAACTAGAAATGAGGCAATAACATTATTTAGTTGTAAGGAAATGTCACAGAACAAGCATTCAAAAGATTGAAAATAACAAATTGGGTTAATGCATAAACTTTAAAAAGCTGAACAAGTGTTTACCAAAAAATGTATAGAAGCACAAAGTCTGAGCCTTTGTTTTCTATTCCAAACTGTTAGTGCAACTCTTGCAAAATGTCTTTGTGGGCTTCCAACACACCAGTAAAAATTTCACAAAAAAAACCCAAGAATAAACTTAGAAAAATACACTGAATGTATCTTATTGCTCATGAAACACTAAACCTGCAATAGCTATGTAAACATTCACACCCACTAGTAACTTATACAGGGATTTGTGTTTGAATAATTTGGAACAATTTGTTGGAGAAAGCTAACTCAAATGGCCAATGGTTTAGCCAAATTTTATAGAGCATCACCAATGTGCATCATATGTATTGTATTACAGAGTTATTTAAGCTAAAATGTATTCTATTTAATCTGCAATTAACAGATCTGAAACTTATTTGGGAATCTTAAATCACAAACCTATTTATTGTGTGATGTACTTAAGGATCAAGTTACCAGCAACCTTAGCTGCAATTTTGAATGTTTGGTTTCCTACATAAAGGAAGAAACTTGCCAAAGTGATGTCATCTGTGTGTCTCACTGATGGCTACAGTTTTCACAGGGAAGCTACAGCACCTAGAAAGGCCCTAACATTATGGTGACAAGAATATCTCCTGACTCCACCCAATGCATAACAGCAGTGCTTTGATATGAAGTCATACTATGCCTTCTGATTAATACTAGAGTATTCTTCAGGCTGAAATGTTGTCAGATGTCTCATGGTTTGTTATATAATCATTACTTTATTTACTTTCTATCTAGCACTGCATAATTAATATATGATACGAACAAAATAAGACTAGCATTTTACACTCAAGAGTCATCTGTAAGTCATCACACTATATATTACTGGGGGCTGAGTGCTTCAAATGCCTCTTGCTTCTCCACGAAGCACACTGAAAAGACATCCTTTCCTGTCCATTAACATTAAATATCTTTGGGTAATACTTGTGCCATCACTAGGAAATGCACCGTAAGTTCCTTCTTTGCTACTTAATTTCACTAGCTATTTGCTCAACCTTTCAGGAGTCACACTGCTGATAATTTTTGTAGTAAAAAGCTGTTGGATTTTTGTCCCACTAAGTTTGCTTTGTCTACTATACTAACAACTAAGTTTGAGAGTCAAGCTGTCTTCTGGGGGGAAAAGATTGTCTAGTCAAGAAAAGGAGTGAGAGTAACACCTATCATCTGTACACGATCTTCCTCAGCTTTAAGGAAAAGGCTATCATCCTCCACTCCACCAAGGCCAGCATAGTACTGTACTTAAAAGATATGTTTGCCTTAAGAGATATCTAGGCTTTTTATATGCATTATATGAACTTCAGCCTAACCTCGTCTGGAACAGCTATCAAACAACCTCCCCCCCCCCCAAGTCCTGCCGTCTAGACACCTGAATGCAAGACACAAGACTGTGCATCTACCAAATAGGATGTCTGCTCTGGAGGAAATAAGCAAGTCAGGACACTGCAGCAAAAACATTGAGAGTGCACAAAGCATTTCAGTGCACAAGAGAATGAGAGAGGTCAAGTTCCTTTCACGATTCACAACCTGGACGAGTTCCTTTCAAATAGCAGAACATAACAGGCATCTCTTGGCGATGAATGGAAAAAAAAACCGGGATGCAACCTCGTTCTCAAGTTGATTTTAGGGTTTCCAAACATACGGAACAAAACACGCATTCAGCGTGACCAGTCTTGGGAAGAAGGCACAGTTTGTCCTTAGACACGTTTCGAGCTGCGGGTGGAGCGGGTCGACTATCTGCATGCAATCTGGGCAGCGACCACGGAGCTTACTTACCCGCAAGGCTTTGCCCTCCCCGTCCTCCCGCCGCAACAGCAACTTACCAGACAGAGCCATAAGCTCCGGAGCCGACCGGGGAAAGGTTCTGGTAACGCTCCGGTACCTCCCAGACCGTCTTGTTCAACTCCTGCCGATAAAACTTGGGCCGCTCCTGGGTCATCTCGACCCCAAGCCCGCCCCACCCAGCGCGGCCGGGAGGGGGGAGACCCTCGAGCAGAACCGGTGGTTCTTCCCCAACAGAAAAAGGGAGGTTCCCGGGCGGAAGGTAAAGCGCTGGACCTCAATGGCTGACACGGTCACACACCGCGGCTGGCCCAAGTGCCTGGAGCCGTTTCTCCCCTTCAGGGAAGGAAAGGGAAGTTCGCCCCCCCTTTTTTTTAATGGTCGCTGCCCGCCCCAACGGCGCTCACGCAGCGGGCTACACAGTCCCTAGCAGGACAAGCCCAACAGGTGGGTCGCGGGGGGGGGGAGAAGGCTCTGTCTCTGAAAAGGCCGAAGCTCGGACCGAAAGCAGCCCAGACGCCAAACCGTGACGAGGATTCGCCACTGTCTGACTTCTGCCGACCTCTTCCTAGATCCCAGACCAATCGATTGCTAAGTTCTCGCGAGATCTGCGGGACGGAAAAACGAGAGGGAATGCCCCAATATGGACCATAGCGCTGGCTCCCTAAGACGACAAGCGTAGTCCCAATAAAGAAATCTCGCGAGCACAAGCCGGAGGAGTATCTCGCGAGAAAAAAAATGAAGACGAGGCGGAGTGGTGGCGCCTGCGAGAAGAGCTGCTTTCCCTCGGCTAAGAGGGCTTCACTGACAGCTCGAGTTCAAAAACAGTATTGGAGCCCCCAATACTTCGTTTTATATTATTGCACGAAAAAATTGCAGAATAAGTACGGATTCTTCCCTTATCTGCCTTGCTTTATGTAGCCAGGGAGACACGCCTTAGCTGGTTTGCCCATGCTTGCAATTACAATGGCAATAAGATGTTTAAGGTTATTTTTCATGCTATGTTGTTTTGCTCAATAACTATCGTCAGTTATAGTTTTACCTTGTTACAGTAAAACTACAGAAGTGTTGTGGCACCTTCATAAATTTCGGTCCATTAAAGTTTATGCCAACCAAAACTTTTTTTCAGTCTTTTCCAATAAACTCAAGTGATTAATGCATTTTTCTTATGAATCAGCTATAATTTGTCATATTTCTATCAAGATCAATTTGCAAAAATGCAAATAGTAGGGTTGTTTTGCACTTTCTAGCCATAAAGTTAATTTCACCATCTACATAAACAGCTTCATGAATACAGGTATGCTGCTTCACTTCGTTGTAGAAGGTGAAAGGCTGGTCTCACACAGCTGAACAAATCCAGACTTAGGATAGTGGCTTATCTTGTTCATTTGATCCTGCATTTATACCTCTGCTTGTGAGTAGGTAAAATCAATCACATCCAATATTCCTTTCTGCCCATTTCAAGTACTGTATAAGTATTCCAGTAAAATCACATTATATAGGTTTAATTATTTATTTTATTGCATTTTTAGACTGCCTAACCACATTATTAAAAGGACAAGCCAACTAAAAGCACAATAAATTAAAGGCACCATAAAAACCAATTAACCATATCACATTAAGGTAATTAGTTAAATTCTAAAACACTGAAGACCTGTTAAAACAAATGCAAAGCAATAATGTGCAGCACCCAAAATCAAGACTCTTGACTGATTGAATAAAATTGACAGTTGAATAAAATTTAATAATCCCTTCCTCTATATACCTGAAATGTATATAAACTCAAATCTGAAACTCAGTGTGTAGAACTGCTGAATAGCTCACGGGTTTAGAGCACGGTGGGAACAGCTACCTCCAGAATTTGTCGGACTGAAAATCATACCTCACCATTGCCTGTCCTGAATAAGATTGATGGGATTTTCTCTCTAACAATACAGTACAGTATATGGAAACTTATATGTTAGTGGCACTGCAGGTTAAACCGCAGAAGCCTCTGCGCTGCAAGGTCGGAAGACCAGCAGTCCAAAGATCGAATCCAGGAGACGGAGTGAGCTCCCGTCACTTGTCCCAGCTCCTGTCAACCCAGCAGTTTGAAAGCATGTAAAAATGTGAGTAGACAAATAGGTACCACCACGGTGGGAAGGGGCGTTCCGTGTCTAGTCGCACTGGCCACGTGACCACGGAAACTGTCTACGGACAAACACTTGGCTTAGAGATGGCGATGAGCACCGCGCCCTAGAGTCGGACGCGACTGGACTAAATGTCAAGGGGAACCTTTACCTTTACCCATACATTTCTCACCGTTGGTTTAGAACTTGAAAGGAAAGTCGACTGCTATCAATGCAGCAAACCGAACCTAAATCTAGGAAAACGTCAGAAGCTGTGCCACAAATTACACCACGCCCAGCCTTCACCGCCTTAATTCTCTACAATCGCAATTGCCGAGTTTTACACCCTTTGATCATAATTTCATCTGCCGCTCGCTAGCGCGCCATCCAATGGCGCAGGAAAGAGAACAAAACAAAAATCCACGGAATGCGTTGCTTATTTGTTTTCACTCCGTTAAACTGCATTCTCTCTGATTTTTCCCATCTCGGCTTTATGGCGAGACTGGAAACTCGCTTATACCCCAGGACCGGCGGCTAGCACGTCACAATCCAAGTCAGCGACAGCCCATCACCACTGCTCCCATGTTTTACGTGGCGCCGTCTCCCCGATTTTACTAAATCCGGCGAAGCCAGGAAGGAGAAAGGACAGGGGCTGAAGCAGGAGGCGCATGCGCTCCGCCCATGGGACAAGGGGAGGCAGGAGAGGCGCCCGACACGCGGCTCCCGGCTCTCATGCAGAGCAGGGGGCGGTGCCGCAAACGCTCGGAAGAGCTGGAGGGCGGGGCTTCTTTCAGTAGTCCCAGTTCGGAAGGAAGTGACAGCCCGGCCGTGGAGGAGATTTGGTGGCGCGCGCAGCGGCGCGCGAAGATACCGGCCGTACGCACGCGCCGACCGGCTCGCCCGCATCAGGCGCAGGCGCAGGGCAGGTCCTTAGAGCGCACGCGTGGGGGGTCGGGGGGGCTGCCGTCTCTGGCCGCCATGGAGCGGAAAGGTGAGTGTGCGTGAATCCTTTGATCGTCTCCCCCTCCCTGCTGCCGCCGGCGGTTCCCTTTTCTGGTCACAAAACGGTCGCCTTCCCCCGACTCCCTTCCGCTCCCTTAGTTTCCTGGTGGGGGTTTAGCCTTGACTTTTCGCGGGGTGGGGGGCTTCTTTCTCCTCCAGTATGGTTTCAGTACCCGCGAGCCGGTTTCTGTTTTATTTCGGGCACCCTGTTCCTGGACTTCTTACTGACAGACAATAGTTACCCGTTTTTTGGAACCCCGAAAATATGAAGCTCGTGGTTCCCACCCTTTGCCCCTCCCCCCCACCGCCGGTGAAGAGAGTGGCATCAGAGCCTTGCTTCCCCCCCCCCCCCGCCATTAGTTAATGAGAGAGCGAGGGGGTTAAGTGGGTCGGGTTCAAGCACGTGGCTCTTTCATAGTTTATCCCTGGGTTAATGTTGTTTCTGAGGGGAAAAAAGGGTGAAGCCCGGTGATGCTAACAATGATCCTCTTTCTTGGCTCTCCTTTCTTCTTTTCTCCTGTCCTTCCCCAGTGCTAGCCTTGCAAGCCCGGAAAAAAAGGACCAAAGCCAAGAAGGAAAAGGCCCAGAGAAAGTAAGTGTGACTCCCCCCAACGTTTCAAGCTAGAATGAGACTGTTATAGGCAATAGCTCTCGAAGTGATGAGAAGAAGTGGGCTTTACAGGTTTGTTGTATGAGAAAGGAAGAGATCTCTGCTGCTTCCCCATTTCTGAGGGCAGCTTCAGTGTTAAAAGCATACTGCAAACTGTTCTGAAAATGACAGGTACCTGTTGCATCTTGCAAATAATGTGAGTACAATTCAGTATTGTTTAGTGCATTTTGATTCTGTGAAATGCAAGTGGTGTTTTAGAGAATTTGTGGGTATTACTCATATCTCCATTAACTGGGTTTTGTGTTTTAATATATAAATGGATATATAATGGCAGGCAAGTTCTGAACACTGAGCAGATCAGTTAATGCTTATGTACTTTTTAGTCTGAATGTGAAATAGATTGAGTGTAGTACATATATACTGTTTAAACTATTCATTTCAATATAATAACAGAATTGGTCAATCTTGGGTTTGCAGGTATGTAGTTGCAGGATCATGACCGTTTGAATTATGATGAGCCAGTTAGGAAATTTGAACTCTAAAATCTTGAAAAGTATGAGAAAAGTTTTAAGTTGTACGTTGCCCTTTGAATGTTTAATTTTGTAGGTAATCTTAATGAACAAGTGATAGGTGAGCTATAGAATATGATTTACTAGACTATAAAAGTACCTTCTTAAAAGCAGCAGGCAGTTCAAATATTTTAATTACTACCTCAAAGAGTGCTCTCTTGCCCCTTTTTAAGCTGTTAATGTGCCTACCATACAACTATGATAGAATAGTACTATGATAGTATAGTACTCTGGAACTTATATCTAAACAGGATAATTTTTTACTCATTTTTTCAGTTTTAACATACTTATTTTACATATGAATATATATTCAGATGATGTCACAGTCACTCTGTAGATCTAATTGCTGGTAGCTAACACTACATAATATTTTCAGCAATTTATGCTTATGTTTAATAATTTTTAAACACATACTTTGTCAGAACATTATTCCATTCAAACTGCAGCCCTAAAAAACTTGAATACTGAAACCAAGAGGATTATTTTACAGCTTGTAGCTAGCACAAGATTCTCATATCTCTGGCAGATGGCCTTTGATTAGTGTGAAGGTACTTCACTCTACATTGCAGCTATGGGCTAAATGGTTGTCTGGTCTTTTCTATATTCATATTAACATCAGCATTGTGATTCTTAAAATCCAGATTACTTGATTCTGCTTTGAACTCCACTTTGAGATACTGGCTAAAATCCAGCAATCAGTCACAGCTAGAGTTAGACTCATTGACTCAATAGGGATTTGGTGAGGCAACACCTGTATAAGTTTCATTGCTTCAATTGAGTTATTACTGCATTTTCAGCCACAGCATACAGTGGACCCTGATACCATTGCAGGTCTGTGGAATCAAAGATTTACTATACTGTTGCAGTAAATTAGCAATAATTAGAAACTGAATTCCAAACTTCTTCATTTCTTTCTTTCTATATTAGAAGCTGGTGCACATATTGAATGCTTCCTGGGGAATCTTAGAGGACTTGGTTAACTGTAGCATAACATAGAATTATCTTAGAACTACAGAACTGGAAGGGACTCTGTGGATCGAGTCCAGTCCCTGTCAAGTGGGAATTGAACTCCCAAACTCTAGCTTTACAGTCATATACTTACAATGTTATACCTTTATAATTTAATGTAGTACCTTTAGTAGAATAGCTTTTGTAACATGTATGATCAAAGTAGCTTCCCATTCAGTGCTAATGTTCTAGGAAAGTTCCTTGACCGAATTTTGCACTTAAAAAGAGAGGAGTAAAAGATAACGTTCTTCATGCCAAAATGCCAGGAGCACAATTAATGTTGCTTACATCAGTAGTAAATGTGCTCATATCTAGGATGACTAATCTTTCAGTAGTATTGAGAACCTTGAAATAGGTTCCAGAATTTATTGGATTGAGTTCTTTTTTTATAGCAAACACAAGCTAGTGCTAATTGCTTCAAATGATGTCTCCTTTTATGGAATGATTCTCAGCAACCAATGTATTAATGTGTACAGATTTGTCAATGATTGACGGGAAGTAGGTGTGTGTTAATACTGTTGTATTGAATTTATATCCAAATATTTGCTGTATAAACACCATCAATTAGATCTACAGGATTGACCCGCTCCAAACTAATGTAGAGGTAGTCTGAACTGATTTATGCTCGGGTTTCAGCAGTTATTTGTATGTTTCTGGATTCAGAGATACTGATAAATGCGTGGAAAAGAGGTCTATAGCCTAGGAAATGGTGCTATGCAGCATGGTTAATTTTAGGAATGTGGTGCACCTTCAGTTTGTAGGGAAAGCTCCTAGCAGCTTCCTTCCCTCCTACCTAGCCTCCCAGACCTATTTACTGTACTCTTTGCTCAGCTCCCTACTTCCATAAATCCCATTTCCATCCATCAACAGCAGGCATTAAAAAAAGAAAAGAAAATAGAAAACAAAAGGTGAGTGAAGAGGGTTGTCCCTTAGCACTACTTTGACCCGTCCAGTCAAAGCCTGCGCAAGGGAGTCAGTCATCCATCCCACATACACACACACAATCCTAAGTGTAATAAAGACTTAATGTAGCTATCTAAAAGAAAAGTCAAGAAATATGTAGAATGTGTCTAGTTCTAATAAGCTATATGCCTCCCTCCCCTTGCTGTGCCTGGATGTGGAAGGATAGCTCATTTTGATGATGGGAAACAAATAGAATCTGTTGAGGTCAGTGTGAGTTGGAGATTCCAGGAGAGGTTTTTGGCTTTCACTGGGGCTTCAGCTGTCAATCTCTTTCTACTTCCTTTTGTTTCAGCAACTGGTGCCAAATACAATTTTTTTCTTAAATTTAGTAACCTGTTTCCCTGAAAATAAGATCTAACCTGAAAATAAGCCTTAGTATGATTTTTCGGGATGCTCGTAATATAAGCCATACCCCAAAAATAAGCCTTAGTTAAGCGAAATCCCACCCTCCACCATTGTGCAGCAACCAGAAGAAGATGACATGACTGTATTTGAAAAAAAAAATAGATTGTTGTACATGAAAAAAATAAAACATCCCCTGAAAATAAGCCCTAATGCGTTTTTGGAGCAAAAATTAATATAAGACCCTGTCTTATTTTGGGGGAAACACAGTACTTTAATCATCCAAATGCTGGAGCAAAGATCAGTGTTTTGGAGTGGTGCCCTATCCATTCCAAGCAGAAATGGGGGCTTCTTAAACCACTCCATATTTGCTATAGTAACATACAAATCTCTCTGCCTTGTCTCATTTGGACACTTTTCTAATGCTAGGGCACATCCCTAATTGAAGGGCTTCTCGAGTATAGTGATGAGCTTCATTAGAAATATTTAAATAAACAACACTGCAAAAGCACATAGAATATGTTCCTAGCCCAACTGCCCACACACAGATGTTAGTCATCTGTCTTCTGAAAGAAGGAAAGAATCAATTTTTGTGAAATGCCGCTGTCTAGTGGTAAATCTTATTCATAACTGGCCAAATAGTTATTGGTAAGCTGTAAAACCATACAGTATGTGGTATTCGATGACAATATATGCCAGATTTCTTTTCAATAACTCGAAAGCATTCAAGGATAAAATAAAAAATGGATGTGATTAATGGCCTTATATGAGGATGTTTATATTCATGGAATTACAACTTGTCATCACTACAACCCACACTTTTTGCCTTCTGGCCTCTGTGTTTGTTCCCAGACAGTACTGGTGCTGATACATAGCTGGTGTTTCCTCTATGACACCCCTTTAGTTACATGTATGTAACAGTATTGGAAAATATGCGTGCCACATGTTTCCCAGCCCAGATTGGCTGCAACTTCCTGACAATTGTACATTCATTGGAAAGATAGGTTTGTACCGGCTTAACATGGCTCCATATTGACTGGTGTATACTATACCCCTAAATATGATGATGTCTGGTTCTCATCCAGTTGCTGTGGAATGTAACCAGACTCTGTGATGGTCTAAGCATATTGGCTGAAATCCCATTATGTGGCATGGTAATTTGCAAATAGAGTTGGCCCATTGAATCAGTGGAACTTACAGAGTAGTTGACTCATGAAATCCTCACTGATTCAGTGGGCCTCTAGGTATGACTTACTACATAAAGCAACAGAATTTCAGCCAGAGTGTTCTTCTGCCAAGTCATCACTCTACCAAATGATTTGGAAAAAATGTGCAAGTGTAAGGCCAACAGCCTGTTCTCTTACTGCTGTAGTGTTTAGTTTTCCTGCCTCATTTGTCTTGCTTTTTGGATCCAGAGAAGTGAGAGAGTCCCTTAAGCCTTAAATTTCTGCATACTAGGCATTCCTGAATACCTGAATGCTTCTTGACAAATCTTTCTGGGAAGCACACCATCTTCATACATAGTGCAACATAGTAGTTAATGAAATGCATGAACGTTAATTGCCATTTTGTTTTATCCATATAGGAGATTTCTATGTAGGAAAGTTAATTATTATAACTGGATGGAAGTTTAGTCTGTAGGTACCATGGGAGTGTAAATCAGTGCATCATTTCATTGGTCTTACACTGAGTGTGATAACATTTGTCTTGAGGATGGCTTTCCTGAAGAAGTAAAGAGCAAAATATTTTTATATTTATTCTCTAGTACAACTACAGCCAAGCTTTAAAAATAAATCAAATAACCCCATGTTTCTTATTCAGTAGAAGTTTTATCATTTTAAGCTAATCAGAATATTTTCTTTAATGAAATTAGAATTACAGTTTACTGCTATGTCTGAGAGCGAGGAAGCAAGATTTTTACCTAGGAAGAAAAGCTCAACTTATTTTTCAGTATGGGTTATAGATTCTGTTGTCTCAACCATGCTTTCAAACACAGAAAATCTAGGAAAACATGTGTACTTTTCAAGACAGCATGATGTAATTCAAATATATAAAGGTATGTATAAAAAACCTGTTGTGTCTACATTAGTCAGTCAAATA